ATTATTTTTTTAAATTTTCTTTAAATTCTTTCTTAATTGGACCAAATAAAATAAATTAAAAATAAGTTTTAAAAAAAATTAAAAAATGAAAATAAAAAAAATAAAAAAAATCCACGTGTCCGCCAGGTCAGCGACACCTGGCGGACACGTCACCTCCGGTGAGCCACGCGGGCATCTTCGGCGCCGGAGGACTAAAACAGCGAAAAATTTTCACTTATAGGACTAGTTTGCGACATGCTCCACTTACGGGACTAAAATGATAAAGGGGTCCAACTAAAAAAATAATTTACCCAATATATAATTTTATATATTAACATTACAATACTGCATATTTAACATAAGGGAATACATTTTTCCAAAAATTTAAATATAGTGTTTATTTATTTTAAGTAGGATGAGTTATTTCTATCATGCGAATAGATCCATTTATGGTAAAGCAGTAGGGGCAGGGCTATTTTGGGAATGCATCTCATCTCATCTGATCTGTCCACTGAACTTTCAATCCTGTCCGTTGATTATTGTTAGGCACAGACGAGGGTATTGTTGGAATTAAACAAATATATAATTGTAGCTCTTCCATTTCGCTTTGTTTTTCTACCCGGGCTCCAAAGCTTTCAATTTTGGGCTTTTGGCCCATTAAGATAGTCCTTTTATTTATTTATTTTGTGGTGATTTGAGTTAGAATGAGTTCATGAATTAATTAATTTTATTTGATAATTCAATAAATTTCAAAATTTCAAAGTTTGCCGTATTTCAAATACTTCTTGTTATTGAATGATTAAATTTAATTATGAAATATTCAAAATTCAAAATAATTCAAACAAGACTTTATTCTAACATTATAAATGCATAAATTAGTCACTATAAATATAATACTACATCCGTTCGACTCTAAGTTCTCATTTATTTTTTGCGGGTTAATTTTTGAATATTAATTATTATATCAAAACGTAGTACAAATTATGAAAAAATTGTAAAAATATTTTCATTAGCGTTTTATAATATTAATAGAAGGACAATTTGTACACAAAAATTATACAAATATAAAAATATTTTTAATGTTAAGTACAATAATGCAAAAGATAAATGTGACCGGTAAAAACGCACAGAAGGAGTATATAATTCATACTAGTATAAATATAGATAGTATTTCTATGTTTTTTTTTCCGTATATATAAAAATTATGCATTACTAAAATAATTACGTGTTACATAAAAAATATATATCTTTAAATTATTTTTTAATCACACGTTACTTACATGCATAAATTCATCTATACATACACATATAATATGCAGATAAAAAATAGTAAAACACCGCATGTATTGTATTGAAATAATATTGAAAATATTATTCCCTCAGTCTCAAATAATATGCAATATTTTTTTTGGGCACATATTTTTAGGTAGGTAGTATTAATAAAGATAATTTAGAAATGAAATAATGTGATATGATGTGATGGAGAGAAAAATGTATATATATATTTTTTTATATGGGTGATGCTATATGATAAAGTGTGGGAGAGAGATTAAGTATAATTAATTATTTCATATTTTGAAAATATTGCAGAGCGTTTGGGACATACCAAAAAAGAAATGTTGCAAAGTGTTTTGGACGGAGAGAGTAAAATTTTTTGTAAAATAAAAATTTCGGTATGGTAACGAACGGTATGTAAATCGTAAATTTCAGTATATACCGAATATTATGTATTATTTTGAAATATCAATTTCTTTTATATTCTTGTTTATTTTATTTTTTTTAAATTTCTTAATTTTCTCAACCATACATATTCTGCCAGGCCAATCCAGAATGCACTTGAATTGTGTTTTTAATAATGATAACAAAACAATCTACTCATTTCGTCCCATAAGTATGTATCTCTATTTACTTTTTATACGAAATTTTAAAAATATTAATATTATATTTAGATATAATAAAAATAAAATAAAAATTACTAAAATAACCTTATTAGTATTGTGTGATATAAGAGTAATGACATTTGTGTAATATATTGTAAATTGTAAGGATATTTGTAATATTAGGTAGAGAGTACATTTACTAAAAAAAAAAAATGAAATTGTTACTTTGTTATAAGGCAGACTAAAATGGAAAAATGGATACTTTGTGATTTGATTGAAGGAGTATATATTATTAGTAGTATTATTATTTTACTAGAATAAAATTATAAGAAAAAATAATACTCCATTCGTCCCAATAGAATAGTCTTGTTTATCATTTTTTTCCGTCCCAAAACAATAGTTTCATTTCCATAAATATTCATATCACTATAAAACTATCCTTACTTTTTCATTATTATTATACAATTGTCACTATTTTTTTACACTAATACACTCACAATGGCAAAAAAATCTTTTACTCGTAGGCCTGGCCCAGGCCCATTCCATCTAGGGGCCCATAAGGGGCCCAATAATATATTATTATTATTATTATTATTATTATTATTATTATTATTATTATTATTATTTTGTAGAATGTATAAAATAAAATTTAAATAAAAAATTTATTTTATAATTATTTTTTAAATAAATGATTTTTACATTAATTTTTAAATTATTTATTTGTATGTTTTAGTGTGTTTATTTAATGGTATCATTTTATATTTTTTTGTGAATTATGTAAAATTAAAAAGATATGATAGAGTAATATTTTTGTGTTCTTATTATTATTTTTTTATATTTATATGTTTAAATTTGTATATTTTATTATATTTTTTAGAAGTAGTTTTAAAAATTTGTGTATTATATAAACATTGAGTTTGTTTATTTAATCTAAACTTTCTAAGTTTTACTATTAGAACTATGCATTTCTCTCTCACAAATATTTCATCAAAGATTATGTTAATATCAAATTCAAATCAAATTTTTTCCTAAACCAATCAAAATAAACAAATCCTTAATAAATATTTTTATTTGAAAATTTTCTTTTAAAGATTTTTGATATTTTATAAAAATATTCTTTAAAAAATATTAAATCCAATATGTTTTTTTAATTTTTTATGTTATACTAAATATTTCACATTAATTTTATATTTATATTTTGATCTTTTAATATATAAAAAAATATATTATTATTATTATTATTATTATTATATAAGAAATATATTTAAGGCCCAATATTTTAATTTTGCCCCACCTAATAAAGGTCAAGAATGAATCTGCTCGTACTTTTTATTCATTATTAATATAATATCAATATTTTTTAAATTTTGTGCCAAACACAATCATACTATAATTTGACACTGAACGAAAGAGTAATAATTTCTTTTTTTATTAAAAAAAAAAGTGATGATGGATGATGAGTAAGGCATGATGAATTGGGCAGAAAGTAGATTTATGTGTATAGATTGTTGCGGCACGTGCCAATGGCAGTGCCAGATCGCCATCCATAAAACTTTATTATTCATTCATTTATTTATATTATTAAATTGACGAATAATAAATCAAATTACATAAAAAAAAAAAAAAAAAAAAAAAAAAAAATCGAGAAAGAGAGAGGGATAGCGACAGGGACCATTCAAAACAGTTTGAAAAGCCAACAAGAATAATAATAATAATTTTTTAAGAAAAAAAAACAAGAATAATTATTATTATTCATAAAGTTTTTAAGCTCAAACTACAAGACAACTTTGGTTTTTTGTGCGAGAATTAATTCGTCCTAAATATTTGTAACAATTTTTTTTTTTTTAATTATCTCAAATATTTTATAATATTTCTAAATATAAATTAATCAAATATATTTAATTCATACGATATACTTTATCTAATTACATCAACTAAATAAAAAAATAAACATACACTTCTTTCTCATCATATCTCATAATTATCAAATTATTCTATTTAATACTATCTACTTAAATTTTTACATCGAAAAAAAATATTGCATCATATTTAAAATGGAGGGAATATTATATGACAATGAGTATTATTTTGTTTAAAAGATTACACTAATATCACCTTAAATATATTTTATAATTTAAAATTTACTACAGTGGACTCACTCAAATCTTTTTTAGTAGTGTGAAATTCCACGGATATTGTTAACTCCCCCGAAATCTTTTATAAACAAATTAGTGTTGTTTTCTTGATTAATGCCTTTTCATATTGAAAAGAGTTTATTTCCATTTATTTTATTTTATTTTACTTTTGGGCTAATTTGCAAGGCGAGTTAGTTCATCCATCCATAAGCACGATGAAAATTGAATCATTTTTTTTAAAAGAAGTTCAAAAACAAATTTGTGTTGGCTCAACTCAAAGTAGTCTATGTTGTACCAGTGTTGAATTGACTCAATCCTAACATGATATATGTCTAAAGGCTGACGTTTCACTAAATTAATGGATGTATAAAGGAGTTTGGTTGATGTTTCTAGAAGTGTCGATATATATATATATATTCAATAGAAGCGTTAAGATTGATCACGGATAAAATGTAAACGTACCATCATTATGGATTATTGATTTTCGCCATTTAATAGATTCTTCAAGATAATTGCCATACACTTTAGTAAAGAGAATTTGGTTGTCGAGTGGCTCTTATTTGCCAACTACTAATTAAACCAAAGATTTGTAGCTTGCATCCGAAGAAGATTTATTTGAAGTTACTTTCTTTGTAACTTCAGTGTCCGACTTACTCTTCTTTAGGCTATTATTCAATTTTGTTCCAAAAAAATAATTCTAAATATTGTACATATCTTGATACATATATAGTCAGTCAACCATGGCTTTGCAAAATGCTAGTTACCAAAGAAGAAATATTTTTAAGGGACTTATTTATTATTTTTGTACTCATCTTTCTTTTTTTCCAAGTTAGACTTAGACCACCCATAATGCTAAAAGAGATATGTATGGTCCATTTGACATATATGATTCGTCTAGTGTGATTTGCTTTATCGGACCTAGTTTATTGGATATTAAGTTCAATCGAGAGTTTACCCACTGCGCACTTTCGGCTAACAATTGCGAATTCCCACATCATAAAAAAATAAAATAAAATAAAATTGTGTGGTCCCTGGTGGTGGGATGAACTTATAACCGTGAAATTATGGGTTCAAACTCCCGAAATCTTTAGGTTCATCTGTCACACATGGTCCGTCTAACGTGACTCATCTTATCGAACCTATTTCACGTTATAAAAAAAAAAAAAAAGATGTGTGTGTGAGTGATTCATATATACATAATGTATGTATAGCTTCTTCTTCACATGGTAGCCCCATTGTTGTCATGTAGGCGTATGAGATGATGAGAAGTGATAAGCTTAGAGCTAGAGGATAAGCAAGTAAAGTAGGTCCATGTCTATCCCCACTCCTACTACATTATCCAACTTCAATTCCTCATTCCCAATCCCAAACAATCAAACCTAATAAATAAATACAGATCAGGAATCAAGCAAGAATATACACAAGAAGATCTGTACTGTTTCTTGTTACCCAGAATCCATGCATGTTTCCCATTTCTCATAATCAATTAATTAATTAATTCAACCCTCACACCAAATAATTTTTATCCATATAAATAAAACCTAATTACACTATCATATTAGCCTCAAAATCATTACTAATCTCGAAATTATACACAACTTAACACATATACACATTATATATATATATATAGAGCCACTTGACTTGGACCCCACGACATGAACAACTCTGGCTCACAAGCATGACAAAGAACAGTGAAGTGGGGTGGGGGCAACACAAGACACCCAATGCAGGCCACCCCACCCCCACCCCCACCCCCACCATTGGGTCATACTTTCACAACTGTGACACCTCAAATAAATAGAAATCATTAATGTACTCATGACACTGAAATCTAACACTAACATAATACTACTTCTACTACTAAGGAGTGGGAAGGAATAAATAAAGTGGGCAGTAAAACAGAGGCCCTTTATTCAGCCTTTTGTTCCCTACCTGTGGAGGAATAAAGCTGCCTGCTGATAATAACCCAAATACATAATAACATGACCCCCCCAACACCCCCACACACAAAAAATAACAATAATAATAATATATAAAAGTTAAAATAATAATAATATTATTATTAAAAATTACCCATTCTTCACTTTTTGCTTTGTGCTTTCTTTTTCTGTTTTTCATTCCTATTTTACAGCTTGCAGATGTGAAATGAAAGAGTTACCGTTAGAAAAATGTTTTCTGATCCCATAAATATAAAAGGTGAAAATAAAAATGAAATAAACTTAGAGAGCATAACACAATTTAGACAAAATAACTCACCTGTTCAGCAAATATGAATGATTTAAAAGACCAGCTTCCTCCTAAGCATCATCATGGAGGGTGGTGAAGATGTGTTTCTTGATGCCCATTCCGCGAGATCGCGGATGGCGTCGCTGACTAGATCCTTGAATATCTGCCGTTCGATGTCCAATATGGCTTCAGACATTTCCTCAGGGCAGTCTCCCCACCCCGTTGTCTCGTCCCGGGACAAGTCCTTCTTCAGCACACTGCATATGGTCTCGAACAAGTCATCAGCAGTGTTTACCTCTCGAATTCTCTGAAATTCTGACCAAACCTCGTTGAGGGATGGTTTCATGGAATTCTTGCGATTCATTACAGCTTTCCATGGAGGCAGCCGGCTGTTTCTGTCGAGAATTTCTTGGATTGTGTCGAAGATCAACTTCCTTTGTAACCTGGGGATTTTTGAGGTGTCCTTTCCATTGAGATATTGCTCCTTCTCTAGTAATAGAAAGACGTCCGAGTGCTCCGGGAAATAATGGGCTGCTCTTAAGATATCCGAGACATATACGAAATCAGAATCATATGATAATTCTTCACATTTGGATGGATATGGTGAAATCACAGAGCTCCATGATTCATCTTCCATTGCATCAGATTCATCTGTTTTACATCAAACGTATATTATGCATTAGAACACTGAAATTATATTCATAAATCACTAATTCACGATCATTCTGCGAAATTAATCGATCAATGATTCAGCTGTTCATTGAAATAAGTGAAAATATCGAAACTGAGCACCAGCATTGACAACAAAATGATTCTTCATTTAAGTTATTAGGACCAAATGGAAAAGTGCATCAGAAGCAGCCATTAGTATCTATTCATTCACAAGTGCTTGAATTTTTTATGGAGATTATTAGACAGGGCTTCAAGATACCAAGGCAAGAAAGATTCATTCATTGAGATACTAGAAAAAACCACTTTGGTCAAAAAATTGAAACTAGGGAAACAATTATGAATCCTTACAGAATGCATAAACATGTATATAGAAGATAAAGATACAAGTCATTTTCCATATTAAAAGCTCACAACTATGCATACTTCCAATTTCCAACAGCATCTCCATCAATGAATTGGACATTTGGGGTTAAAACATAATCAAGGCACCTTGCCAACCAAGAGAGGGCGATGCTCTCTAGGCGGACTCGCCTCAAGGTCCACCCCCCACCCCCCATGTGACCAACTTTCCTAAATACCCCTTTCTTATTAGCTTCCATTTTCTTCACCAGTCAATTTCTTCATCCACATTTTACAGCACATTTAATCAAAATCAGATTAATCATAGCTAATACATAGTGTAGACAAACTCAAAGTAGAATCTTGTTATCTGCCTACAAGCAAGTCTTCTCATGGAGCCTAGTGGTAGTGTAATGAATCTCATTCATGGGATGTGATTTATTTGATTCGGGATATTATTCTTATTTTAAAAAAAATAAATAAATGTACCTTTGAAATCAAGATTACGCTTCGTCGTAACAGGTGATGGAGTCGAAGATTCATCCTTGTAGAATGAAGAATCGAGGACGGAAACAGGGCTTGGCTGCTGCGTATCAATGGCGGTCATTTCAGCTATGCTGTGAAGCAACTTGTCGCATCTCTCCAATAAATTCCTTCCTTCTTTGTATTCCTCAGTCTTCCATCTCTGCTTTCGACATTTACCACGTTCACGTTGGCAAAAGTAATGAAGTGGATTAGCAACTAAAATGAATTAATTGAATGTGCATTACCTCCGTGTCAGTTGAAGTTGTAACGCTGCTTCCGGAATTGGACGAGGATTCATCCTCCGTACTCGCAACGGCGGTGATCGCCTTCTCTTTATGATGAATCATGGCCGTTGTTGTTGTTTTCTTGCTCCGAGGTGATTTGTTGTTGACCGTTGGATCTGGTCCGGTTCTTCGCGAGTTAACCTTCGGAGAGTGAACAGGTGAGGTTCTTCGGTTATCCATCGATTCGTTCATCATCTTCTGAGTTTCAACGCTCAGTAGTTTTGGCTTCACCAGTGAGTTTGACCGCCTCCCAACTCCATTGCGGTCACGGCGTGGACTTACCATCGGAGGATTTTCTCCGGCGAGGCTGTAGTTCCGACGGAGGCCACGGTTCTGATTTCTATTATTCGCCGGCGAATAGTCATTTCCGGCCTTCCGATTAAGCGGCGTTGGAGTCGATGATGTCGGAATTTTTGCTACGAAGATTGGTGACTCACCGTAAACAATTTTCCGGTGGTGGCTGATCTGATTTTGCTCAGACGGTTTTCTAGAATGTAGGAGTCCTTTGAGCTGCAAAGCTTCCAGGATTTGTTTCAAGGTCTCCAAATCTCTTGAAGGCTCGTCAAATCCTCGAAATGTCAATCTAATGTTGTTCTCCCCATGGATTGATACCTTCTGTTTTGGCTCTGGGAAGAAGTCTCCCGAATCGAAGAAGCTTCTGCGGTGTTGATGAGCTTTCCATGGCGACGAAGAACTGTAACCGCCTCTGTTCAAGCCTTTAGGCGGTTCCGCGTTGCCGATAGCATTCTTCAACAAATTGTTTACTGGATTTGCATAATGTGCATTCAGCGGTGAATTGCTTCTCATAATATTGTTGAATATGGCAGGTTGAGATTGACCTATCGGCTTGGGATAGAGATTGGTTCCATCTGCGGTGAATCGAGCGTTAAACAGATCTCTTGAGACTCTCGATTCGGAAGCAGATCTCCGAAGCTCAGGCTTGTTTTCTGGCTCAGAGCTGCATGAATCTGGTAATGGCTCCAGCCCCATGAGTCTGGCAATTACACTCGGAGACCGATGCTGCTGCGTATCGTCCGTCGCATCACTCGCAACACTCTCGCATCGATTGGACAAAACGGAAGCACCTGTGCGGATCTCTTTGGGGTGAAGGCTTCCGTTCGCATCAGTTGTAGCTCTGCTATCGAGCGAAAGCCTCGGCGTCTCTTTGCTGAACTTCCATGAGGATTTGACGCCTTCTTTCAATTCGAAGATCCGAAGAGGATTAGGTGATTTAGGCGGCAACTCAGCTGCTACCACCGTAGGTGATCTGAGCTCCGCCGCCGGCGACCTGTCCGGACTAGGCGCTGCTACTGAGTTCCGCTGCATCGACTTTCCGGCTTCCCTCAAAATCGCCGGCGATGGAGAAGCTGAATCCTCCGACTCCGACGCAGTATCCACAACCTAAAACAATTACGGAAACATCGTAAACACAATGAAACACTCCATAATCCATCATCCAAAACTTAACCGTGAACAATCGGCAAAACCTTACCGGCGGCAAAGGAGGGAGGCGTTTGGGGGAACGGAACCGTTTTGCGTTCGAAATCTGGTTGCGATCAAAGATATGCAGAAAACCAGCCATGCATCCCATCTGCTTCTCCAAATTCTGCCCTCTCCCTACCTCCGTCGACATTTTCCGGCCACTCACGCCACTTTCCGATACTCCGCACGCTTCCAACACTAACGCACTTAATTCTCACTAAAGGCAACGTCACATTTAGTTTGCAGTCCCTCTCTCTCTCTCTCTCTCTCTCTCTCTCTCTCTCACAAACGTCTTTCGCTTTTATGTGCCAACTCCCGCTTTCTGCTCTTTTAAAGGTTAGACGGATTAGCAGTGGTGGGTCGGGTTTTGCTAATCTCACAGGTCGGTCACTTTTACTCTCGCAATTGCGAAACGGCCCTGGGTGAGTGAAGGAAATGACAACTATATCCTCCAAACAGATGGTGAGGAACTCGTCACCGTCCGTAGCCTGAGTATTCCACGTGTCAGTTTGCAACTTCCTTGATCTAGGTAAGTTTGAACGGCCAGTCCACCATAGTATTTATTAACTACTGTTATATTCATATATTGATAAAAATAAATAAATAAATTATTAAATAATCATAGCATCCTATCCCTCAGGGCAAAAATTACATATTTATCACTCGCTATTCACGAGGAACGCGAGAAATATATGGGCTTGTCTTTTTGGGACTTTGTTAACTTGAGAATTTTAAGAGTTTGTTACATGAGATTGTCCGAAATAAATTAGGTAGAAAATATAAATATTATGAGTATGTGTAGTGTATTAATATTTTTAAAAAAGTAAGTTGAAAAAAGAAAAAAGAACAAAATTTTAATTTTTCACACGTATTTAAATAATTTTCTAATATGATACCATCTGTTCTAATACAATAGTTTTGTTTACCATTTTTGTTCGTCTGAAAAGAATAATCTTATTTTCATGAATAATCATATTGTCATAAAACTATCATTATTTTTGCATTTTTATTGCACAATTACCACTATTTTTACACTAATACATTCACAAGAAAAAAGTTTTTTATCCATACATTTTACCAACTGCCAATATAATATCAATATTTCTTAAATTCTGTGTCCAACCCAATTAAGACTATATTTATGGGAGGGAGGGAGTATTTTATAATAAAAGAAATTATTTATATTGAAGAATATTTAGACTACATGGTAAGAGTGAAAAAAGAAAACGAATAATTAAAAATAAAATTAAAATAATTATATGATATATAAATATATTTAATATTTTAATCAATTATTTAAATAAATTTATTTATAATTTTGTATTAAATTATAAAATTATATTATATTAATAATTAAATTTTGTGTGGAAGTGACATTTCAATAATATCATCGATTTTATGTTAATGTAATAATATTTTGACAAATAAAAGTGAAGATAAATTTGTAACTTGATAGATTAAAAAAAAAAACAATTAAGATTATTTAAGTGAGATCGAAGAATGTATGATATTTTGGCGGAAGACATAACATATATTAAAATTTATATATTTTATTTAAAAGTATTATAATAAAAAAATAAAAAAATATATATTTTTACTATAATTTATATTATTAAAATTATTTTTATATATAATTAATATAATAATCGGATCATACTCACATTCTAATTCGGATATAGTCCATCCGTAGACTCAATTCAATACCCGAATAATTGAACTCGATCTCAAATAAACAGATCGAATCAGAGTGGGTCTTGGGTCTACCCGAAAACATTGCTATCACATTTGTACAAATTTTTGGACATCATATACAGATATAGATATATATAAGTTTGACCAAATGGAAGTTGATAGGTGAGAAATGTACAAATTAATGGAACAGAACATCAGACAGTAGTCTTGGTTAGTCAGTTTATTACAAGCAAAAGATGCAACACAAAGTACACCAATATAACTCTTGCAGTTCAACCCCCATTCAATTACCAACTCTATTTATACATTTATAAACACACATATATATATATATATATACTCCCTCAGTCCCGCAACAAAATTGTTATTTACTTTTTACACATAAATTTTTTAATATTAATATTATAATGAATTGTAGTGAAAAAGACGAAAATATCCCTATTAGTATTGTGTAATATAAAAGTAAAGATATTTGTGTAACATAGTGTAAGTTGAAAGAGTATTTATTATGTTAGGTATGTAGTACAATTACTAAATTAGGAAATGATAACCTTGTTTTGGGATGGACGAAAATAAAAAATAACAATCTTTTTAATGGAGACAGGGAGTATAATATTTATTGATAAATACTCCCTCCATCCTATATAATATGGGTGTATTACTGTAAACACGAGAATTTAGGTAAAGTATAATTAGTAAGTAATCAATAAGTGTATTAATACAAATAATTATAGATTAAAATTAAAATAAGTAAATAGTTTAATTAAAATTATAAAATTTAAAATGTGATTAAAGTGCATAATTATATTTTCAAAAATAGAAATGACAAGTTATGTGAGACAGACAAAATAGAAAATAGGGACAAATTATGTGGGACGGAGGGAATAATTAATTTTATTAAAAATATATACTTTTTTCTAGAAAATATGGTACTCTTCAATCTCTTAAAATTGTATCTATTTTTCATTTTTATTTATTTCTTAAAAATATTTTTTTTTTTATTTAGTGAAAATTATTTTATTTTATATTTATTTATCGTAAAAGATAAAAATAACAAAAAATGTCAATAAAAACCTCGTATATTAAAACTTGTGAGGACAAATTTGAAAAATGAAAAGGTAAATACCTGTATTTTTACTATTCTAAAAAATTTTCAAATTTTTTATCTAACCCAAGTCAATTAGATGTAAAATTTGGTATATATAATCAATTTATTTATAGTAGTAGAATATTCAATATTATTCGTAATTATTTATAAAAATATTGAACATATTATTTTGAAGATGGACTTCTTTTAAAAAATATATATATAATAATGTAAACTATATAATTTTATAAGAATAAATAATACTATTATAATTTGATTTTTAAGAAAATACTCCATCTATTTCGATAGATACGAGAATTTTAAAAATATCTAATTAATAAACAATGAAGATTATATTAATAAAATTAATTATAATATAATACAAATAATTACACATTAAAATTAAAATAAATAATTAATGTAATTAAAATTTAAATAATAATTAAAATATGTAATTTTTTCTAGAAAAATTAAAAATGACATGAGAGATGAAACTAGCATAAATAATAATAAAAATGTAATATTATATATATGAGACGAATGAAGTGTATAATATAAATATACTACTCCATCTGTCATAATACAATAGTCTTATTTACCATTTTTGTCCGTCAGTCTTATTTCCATAAATAACCATATCACTATAAAACTATCCATATTTTTTCATTTTTATTACATAATTACCACTACTTTTTACACTAATACACTCACAAGAGTAAAAAAATCTTTTATCTGTAATTTTTAACTACTATCAGTATTTCTTAAATCTCATGCTTAACCCAATTAAAACTATAATTTTGGGAGGGATGGAGTAGTATATAAATTAAAAAATTAATAAAATAAATACATTTTTATATGGAGAGATTATTACTGAAAAAAACCCTAATCCTTTAAACTGACCACTTTCAGCACTGCTAAAGTACTTCATCTACAAGACAATTATGCCGTCTCAGCACTGCACATAAACACAATATAATAAAATAAATACTTTTATAATATTATTCCTCATTTTTTTAAGATAATAATTAATTAATTAATTAATCAGCATATATATGTATATAAATTAATTAATCCAAAATTTTATGGCGACAATTAGTGCAGGGCTTTTTGTGCAGTATTCTTTCTGGCACGTACTAAACTACTAAAGTAAATATAGTCAGTGATCAGTCTAAAGTAAATAAATAAATATATATATATAATTAATTTAATTTAATTTAATTTAATTAAAAATTGGTATAGGGAATTTAAGAAAATGATCGCGTATTGGCTAAAGGGCTATAGCAGCAGGTGCTTTATTCCTTCCCGTTGTTGGTATCACGTGACTGTACGTATTTACCAGTTGACCACTGGAGGGGAGATGTATCTTATCTTTTATCTTATCTTAATTTAATAATAAAATAAAATAATTTATTAAGGATTCATGGATTCCCACATCGGAAAAGAGTGAATACAATATATCTATAGGAACAAAGCTGTGGGAGTATAAAAGGCGGTGGTCTTGTATAACGGTCATCTTCTGCCCTTGGAAATAGTGATATGCTCCTGCATTTTTATTTTATTTTATTTATTTTTTAAAATTATTATTATTGAGGAATCTCTGCCAAAATTTGAGGTGGTTCAAAAGTGTATAGATGCAAAGTTCTTACAAGCTTATGTGTTATAATTTTTTTTTTAATTTTTTATTTTTTTTTACCGCGTGGGAATCCGCAGTCGCTACTTGAAAGTGCGTACTGCATAATCTTCCGACTGAACCTAATACCCTGCAAATTAGGCCCGACAGAAAAATCACACTAGGTGAACCATGTGTGGCAAATGACCTAAAATGTCTGGGGTTTAAACCCATGACCTCACGATCACAAGTTCAACCCCTACAGGCCATTCCTTACGGGACCTTCTTATGTGTCATAATCTTTGTTCGGTAAAGAATGAACTCGTGGTGTGAGAGTTTATTTGTGACTGCAAAATCATAAATTTAAATATTTTAGATTTTTAAATCTTATTTGTTATGTATAGTTTGTTTAATTTAGAGATTATTAAGTTCGATCGTAAATTTACTAATAATATACTATATTTATTTATTTGATGACGTACGCACTGGGTAAATTTTCGGTTGAATCGAACACAATACCCTGCAAATCAGACTCGATGGAAAAGTCACACTAAGCGAATCATATGTGACAGGTGACATGAGGTATCACGGTCACAAGTCCAACCCCTGCACCGCTAGACCATCCCTTACGAGACTTGTATTTTTTTATTTTTCGATTAGTTGTTGAAGTTGTGAAAGTATTTTTAAAAAATTTGATATTACTTGAGCTTTGTTTTGTTTTGTTTTATTTTTTGATTTTTCTTTAAAATATATTTTTTAGACGGTTTATAAGAAAATATATATATATATATACTTAGCAGTCTATATGTTCATAAAAGATATACTCGTGTAAGTTGGAAACGAATATAATACAATTTTATTTTATTTTTATTCGCGAAGTTTGTATTTATTTAAAGTAAATATAAATTTTAATGAATATATATATATATATATGTTTGTTGGTTGTTATATAAAAAATGATTATAAAAAGTGTGTAAGTGAATTAATAAAATGAATTTTTTTTTTGATAAATTGAATATTAAGTAATAATAACATATTTATAAATAAACATAATATTAAAATATAGTATAAATTTTTAAAAAGTATATAAGGGATATTTTTTTATAAATAGAAAAATGCATAATTTTTGTGAAAATAAAAATAAGATATTAATTTGATGGACAAAGAGAGTATTAATTAATTCCGACATAAAATAACATTTGATGTCTGAGTGTAATCGCACGTTCGATTATAAAAAATAAAATGTCTTAAATAATATTTTTTAAATAAAATAAATAACTAAATAACTTAAGATGCCATTCATTTAATGATTTCTTGGAACTAATTATTACTTAACTTATAAAAAAAATTATAAAATAAAGATTTTTTATTTACTTATTTATTTTATTAAAAAAATATTTTATTTTTTATATTTATATAAAACTTGTATAATTAAACCGCATATTTAAAAACAATCATTAATAGAAGTAAACAATATTTTGTGCATATATTAATTTAATATAAAATAAAATTACACAATAAATAAAATACAAAATATTCTATATATTTATATTCAAATACAAAAAAAAAAAATTATACAATTTACTCATATACTCATATATATATATATATATATATTACTAAAGTACTCCCACTCATGCCCACCGGGATCTGTACTGAATATGTTATGCTTTTTTAGACCAATCACATTTACCATTCTTTCAACTTTATTTATCCCAAAATTATTTTATTTTAGAGCTAAATTTATTCCAACACTTATCTCCAAATTAAAATTATTCCAAATTTGGTTGAGGATTAAGATATTAAACTCAAGGAAAAAAATCATTTTTGTCTCAATATAATTAAAATTCATCATTTTTTATCTCAATATAAAAATTTTATCAATTTTGGTCTAAATATAATTAAAACTCATCATTTTTAGTTCCAATATAAAATTTTAATCAATTTTAGTCCCAATATAACCAAAACTCATCATTTTTTGTTTAAATATAATTAAATCTTATCTTTTTTTGGTCCCACCATCAACAAACCGACGAAAAATGCTGACGTTGACTTATAAGATTGTACAATTTCTTCAAATATAAATATAACGTTTGATTTCTTTGAGACAAAAAAAATAAGGTTTGATTATATTGAGACAAAAAAATGATGAGTTTTGGTTATATTGGGATTGAAATTTATTAAAATTTTATATTGGGATAAAAAATGATGAGTTTTGGTTATATTGAGACTAAAATTGATTAAAATTTTATATTGGGATAAAAAATGATAAATTTTGATTATATTAGAACTAAAATTGATAAGATTTTTATATTGCGACCAAAATTAATGAATTTTGATTATATTGGTACAAAATGATTTACAAAGTGAATGAAATGAATTTGCTCCAACACTTTTGTTTTGCACCAATTCATTGAATTTATAAAATAAATACAACTACAAAAAATTTATTAAAATAAAAACCATAATTAAATTGGATCCACAATTCTGTTTTTTTGTGGCCATAAATTATTACAACTGTGCTAAATTGTCTTTTTGCATACAATAAAGTCGATATTTATATTAAAAAAATTTCACATTCCCAAAATACAATTGCCGAGGAAGCACCAACTCGGACGGTCAGCAGTCAAACGGTCAACGGTCAAGCACCGGGGTTGTAATTATTTTGGCGGGAACCGAAATCCTGACCGGCGGCGCCGTACGCCGATCTCTCGTACTTCTCGCCGTCGCCCCAGAGGGCGTACGCCTCCTCGCCGTGGACGGCGTCGTCGCCGCCGTCGAGCTCCGCCTCCGACATCCGCAGCGGCACAAAAATTCTGATCAGCAGACAAACGGCGGTGGTGACGACGACGTTGACGGCGACGACGAAGAGAACGCCGACGACCTGCACGCCCATCTGCCGGAGCCCCGCCTCCGGCCGGCGGTCGTGGAGTCCGTACGCGACGCCGATGTAGCGGTCCCAGTTGGGTACGCCGTAGAAGAGGCGGCCGAGTTTGGGGTTGGCGAAGAATCCGGCGAGCAGGCCGCCGAGAGCGCCGGCGATGGCGTGGGTGTGGAAGACGGCCATGGTGTCGTCGACGAGCTTGAGGAGGGCGACCTTTAGGTAGAAATTAAAACCCATTTTCAAATTTAGCTTGTCATATAATTGAGTTTATTTTTATTTTTAATAAATAATGATATTGTGAAATAAAAATAGAATGTGTAAAATATGAAATAAATGTATTTTATGAAAATTATTAGAGGACGAAAATATAATAGAATAAATAAAAACTAATACTCTCTCAATCCTACATATTGTATTAGTATTATCGTTTTTTTCCGTCTCATGTCTATCCTTTTTTTTATTTAAAAAAAAATGATTACATATCTTAATCTCATTTTAAATTTTAATATTTTAAAAAAATTATTTAAATTAATTAATTATTAATAAATAATTATATATATTATATGATAATTATTTTTACTAATACATTTATAATTAAATTTTGTTGTCTACATTGACCCACCAGAGATGATTTATTTTTCTTCTTTTATCCCTTGATAAAAGATAACCTCTTTTATTTTTAGTAAATTTAATTATTTTAAATATATTTAAAAAAATATAAATTAATTTAATTATTTTTTTTAACATCTTAGAAACACTCAAATCTCTTTTATTTTTATCGATATTTAAAAATCTTTGTTTTTTATAGAATTAGTTTTTAAGTTAATTATAAATAAATAAATAATTTTTAAATTTATTTATATTATATAGTAAAATTTTATTCAATACAAAATGATATTCATATTTTATAAAATTAGAAATATTTAAAATACCAAACACACTACTCAAATAAAAAAATAATAAAATAATATCATAACTTATTATTAATAATTTACTAATCTACTGTATTAAATATTGTGTTCCTAACTAAAGGATCATCTTGACCGGAAGGGATGAAGTATTATAAATGTAACATGTTTTGCCATTTTTTTTTACTTACTCATTTTTAACAATTTTTTTTTTATCAATAAATTTATAATAATATTCCTATATTATTATTACTCCCGTTGCCATTTTTTTTTTTTCGTCTAAAAATAAAATTATCATTTTCTAATTTAATAATTGTACTACCTATCTACCATAATAAATAACCTTTCAATTTACACTATATTACACAAATGTTATTACTTTTATACTATACTAATAGAGATATTTTCGTTTTTTCACTACAAACCATTATAATACTAATATTTAAAAATCTACTTGTAAAAAGTAAACGGCAACCTTGCACCGATACGAAGAGAATATTATTATTTTTATAAAAAAATATTAGTATTAATTTGAAATTAAGATTTGTAGTATAATTATAGATAGGATACCTTCTTGTGGAGGATCATCATGGTGAACCAGGGGAGGCTGCCGGAGAGGAGGCCCATGACGACCGCGGCCCAGGTCTGGACGACGCCGGCGGCGGGGGTGATGCAGACGAGGCCGGTGATCATGCCCTGGGTGGCGCCGATCACCGAGGGCTTCTGGAAGAAGAGGATGTCCAGGAGCAGCCACGTCAGCAGGCTGGTGGCGGCGCAGACGTGGGTGTTCAGGACGGCCAGGGAGGCGTCCACGCTCGCCGTGTACGGGTCGCCGCCGTTGAACCCGGTCCAGCCCATCCACAGCAGACCGGCGCCGGCCAGCATCAGGAGGATGTTGTTTGGCGGGAACCTTTCCCGGTCCTTTGCCGCCCTGGGCCCCACCTGCATTATGTATATTTGGTCACAATGAAAAAATATTAACGAAATTGTCCATTAACTCTCCGGCAGTTTGAAAATTCATCTTAAATTTTCTTTGATGTAAGTTATACTTTTAAAAAATATTGCATAAAACATTATTGTAAAAATGAAAATATACATAGAAAATTATATTTTTCATTATGAAAAAAATATAAAATATGGGTTTTCTACGATATTTTTTAAAGTCTAAGATAACGTCGTATAATTTTTAATAATATAAAAAAAATTATGTTGAATTTCGAAATCATAAAAAAATTATGAACAATTTTTCCAAAACCATTGGAAGCTCTTCTAGTTTATAAAAGTAAATAGCAATTTCTCTTGTCCTCTATTGATTTTGAGATAGAAAATTGAATCCCTCCTCCTTAAAAAAATCAAATGTATTTACTTTATATATATATATACACACACGCGTCACATTTATCCTTTTGCGTCATTTTATTTAACATTAAAAATATTTTTATAGTTGTATAATTTTTTGTACAAATGTCATTTTGTTAGTATTACAAGACACTAATAGAAGTATTTTTACAAATTTTTCTTAATTTGTACTACGTTTTGATATAATAATTAATATTCAAAGATCAACACACAAAAAATACATAACAGAAGGACATTTACTTTTTTGCGTGTTGATATTTAAATATTAATTATTATTTCAAAACGTAATGTAAATTAAAAAAATTGCAAAAATACTTCTATTAATCTCTTATAATACTAACAAAAGGACATTTATAAAAAAATAATATACAAATATAAGAATATTTTTAATATTAAATACAATGACACAAAAGATAAATGTAAATATAACCCTTAGAAGCAAACGAGGGAGTATTAACTTTTTCTTTCGAAAAGTAGAGTTCAGATCATAAATTTTTAAAAGTAAAAACACCATAACGTACCCAATAAGCGGCGGTAAAACCCGCGACGCCGGACGACAAGTGGATAACATAGCCGCCGGAGTAATCAATAAGGCCCTTTTTAGCGAGCCACCCGTCGGGGCACCAAATGCTAAACGCGGAGACGGTGTAAGAAAACGTAAGCCATAAAGGGACGAAGATCATCCACGCCTTAAAGTTCATCCTTCCTAACAGCGCGCCGGCGATCAGTATCAAAGTGATCGCCGCGAACACGAACTGAAAATAGACCATGGTGGCATTGGGGAACTTATAAACCCCAAATGTTTGTTTTAGCAAAACATGCTGGTCGAGCGCGTCGTCGACCCGCCCGAGAAACGGGACGAGCGCGCGCCCAAATGACATTTGATAGCCCCAACCCACCCAGCAAACGAGCACGGCGGCAAATGCGTAAAGGGCCATAAATGCCGAGTTTACGGCCCATTTTTTTTTCACTATGCTACCGTATAACACGACGAGGCCCGGGATGCTTTGGAGCCCGACCATTGTGGCGGCCGTCAGCTGCCACGCGTTGTCGCCTTTGTTCATCCATTCGGGATTCGCGTCGTCCGGCCGGAGATTCTCCGGGAGCCACGAGTAGGTGGAATCTGTCATCCGAATATTCCGGAATCTTTTTGGAAATAGAAGGTTATATAAAATGATATGGTGGAATTGTTGGGGATATAGAAATTAGAGGTGAGGTAATTGGCTGTCTTGTTAGTATTGTTTGGATTTGGATATTCCAATGATCGTAAGATATTTAATTATGGATTTGTTTTTAGGGTACGATGAATCTAATGCCAGAGTGTTTTTGTGTCATGTTGTTGTTGGTGTTGATTATGATATAAAATATTAATTAATCAATTATTAAAATAAAGATCAAGATTCCGTGATAATTAAGGGTGTGTTTGTTTATAGGGGTACGGAGAATTTGGGTTTGAGTTTAGTTTTTATTTGAATTTTGGGATGAGTTTAAATTTTGTTGTTTATTTTATATTTGAGTTTGTTTGGTTGAGATTTTGGGAGTTTTGATTTGATGGATAATGAATAAAATAATATAAATATGTATTAAATTTAATTGATAAAATTTATATTGTATAATTTGATTATGAATTTATATTATATTAAACACATATATATTTAAATTTTTATTTATTCATATCATAGAAAATTTTAGTTTTTACAAAATGACATATATATTATATATATTTTTTACCCTATAATTATTAAATAAATATAATATTTGAAAATAATAATAATAATAATAATAATAATAATAATAATACAAATGACAGCTTTTGCTGCCAGTTTGCAGCAAATGTTGGAGAAGGGGAGCTGACCCGGTTTGGGAGAAAATACTGTGCAAAATGTTTGAGAGAAAATACTGTGCAAACACTTTGCACATTATTTTCTCCCAGGCCAGAAGAAACAAGATCTAAAGCATGCTCATCAATACAATTAGTTTGTTCGGTTGTAATTTACAATATAATATTAGTTTGAATTTTTATTTAAATAATATTTTAATATTTCCTCTGTTTCATAAAAAGATGCTATTAATAATTATATTAATTGCAGTATCTATCTAATATAATTAATATCTTTACAGCTTTCAATATATTACACAAATATCATTACTTTTATATCACAATAAAAGTATTTTTGATTTTATAGGAAGGAGGTAGCATAAGATTTTGTAAGAAAAAATACCCTACTAGAAAAAAAGTTGATAATTGGTAAAATTTATCGCATACTTTAATTTGCAACAAAGAATAATTTCATGAAAAATTTATATTACAATTTTCGTAAATAGCTAATTGAAATTATTTTTGACTTAGCCGACATGTGCCTGCTGGCATGCCATGCAGATACCACATAGGCATCAAGGACTAAATGCCCGAAAATTTTCCCTTTTAAGTCTATTTAAAACAGCCTCTAGTCAGGAGGCTAAAATGATAAAAATGTAAATTAATGAACTAAAAAACAGTTTATATTTAATAATCTCCTTATCTTCAGCAAAATCTTTGGACGGAACACAACAAACATCAAAACTGCAGACATACGAAGCTACCCACCATTAACCAATGCCCAAAATATCTTTCAACGAAAACCAAACCAAACAAAAAACAGCAAATTTTAGAAAAACAAAGAGCTACAACACAAAACCCAGAAACAAAAAAAACCTTCGAAACAAACTTGCACGTTACCTAATAGTGTATAATATAGCATAGCATAGCATAGCTGCAACTGTAAATGTAGTTTAGTTAACTTACGCCGTTATCAGGGCTCACATCTTCGTACGAGACCAATCCCCGTCGCCCGTTCGAAGGGGAGCTCGGCGGCGACAGTTTTTCCGGCTGCTTCCGCGAAGCAAGTTCACGGAATTTCGATGGTTCCGGGCTGCGGCTTCGGGATCTTGAAACGGGTCTTTGAGGGGACCGATCATCCCTTTGTGGTCCGAGTCGAGATTTTAATCTGTCGCTGAGCACAGGTCGCCTTTCTGCGGGGCTAGGACTACGGCTATGGTGCCTGCGACGACCCCGGTAGGGGGGGCTCCGAGAAATGGACCTGCTCCGACTCCTCCGCCGTTCGTATCTAACACCAATTTTATACGATATATCATGGCATGGAATTATTATTAATCGATGGATCGATAAAAATTATTTCCAAGATAGAAATAGATACAGCAGGAATCAAATATAGGGTGTGCTCATCCAACAAGGGTTTTCGACGTGCTTCTCGATTATATTACTAAAAATACACAATATATATATTCTATCTACCCAAAAAAAAATATTTAACATACTTTTCAATTCCTAATTTAAAAAACATGGCCAAAATCACAAAAGTCAACATATCCATACTAATGCTAGATAATGAAAACTTAAGGTGTGTTTGTTTAGATTCATTCAATTTTTTCCTAACAAAAAATCAAATCAAACACCTATTTTTTATTTTTTTTTATATTATACTAAAAATCAATTTTACATTTAAAACATTACATCAACACCTATTTATATAACATCAATTTTACAACTATTGCAATTCAAAATTTTTACTATTCAAATCCCAATTCAAAATCCAAAGCCCCAGACAAACACACCCTTAGTATGAGATATTAAAGGAAAGGGGCGGGACAGACAGACAGACCTGGGTGGGCTCCGTCTTCTTGGAGGACTCTGGTAGCGCATAGGTGGCGATCGTTCGAATCGATTTCTGTAGCTCGAATACCTTCTAAAACAATCATAGATAGAAAATTGATAATATTTTGTGATATAATCAATTTCGAGAAATAAGATATAGCACTCAGGAGCTACCTGTCGTTGCTCCTTTGGATATTTCTTCCACCATATCGAAAAGATCTATCGGGGGAACGTTCTGGAGATGGTGTACGATATTTTCTAACATATGAGAATCGATCAGTAAATCCACGCCCTTTTCTAACGCGTTTTGGAGTTCCTCCTGGGGAACGGCTTCGAGATCTATCCTTTCCGGCTGGTTGAGTTCCTTTGGTTGCAGGGCCCTTTGAAGAAACTTTCTCAACCTGCTGATCAGATGAAACAAGAGGCTTATCGCTCTCTTCAAGTCTCGGACTTCTGCTTGGAGAACGGGGATGATTAGATCTTGGCTTTTCGTCATAACTTGGACTCGCACTCCTGCCAATGACAAAAAATGTAATGTCATAGTTAGGCATGAAAGAAGAGACGAGAGGATTTGCAAAGCAAAATGTAATAAGAAACCAGCAGACCAAATTGGAATTTCATTTCCTTAGTATGAAATGAATAATTATAATAGCGTGCATAATTCCAAAAAGTAAGGGTGTATTTGTTTGGGGGTTTGAATTTTGGATTTGGGATTTGAATAGTAAAATTTTTGAATTGACATGATTGTATAATGTAATATAAATAGGTGTTAGATGTGATATTTTAAAAGTAAATTGATTTTTACTATAATATAGTAAAAAATAAAATATTGGTGTTTGATTTGCAGTTTCTGAAGGGGAAAATTTGATGAATAAATAAAATCCTACAAACAAACAGACCCTAAAAGACAGATAGTTGGGAAGACTGGCAAAATAAATCAATAACATGAAAAGAAAAGAAAAGAAAAGAAAAGAAAACCACTGCATAAACCTGGATTTGCTTAAGTTATGGCGTCCAGCAGCTTCACTATTGCTCACATGATCCAGGCCATTATTGTTGTGGCTATCATTCCTCCGTGACAATTCACCCTCTTCGTGAGCCAAGTCTTTCCCATAATCATTTGTTTGCTGTTCCAAATTTCCTGAGTCTGCAGGAGTCGAGAACTTATTCTCCTTTCCTTTAGGATATACAGCACAAGAAAGAATTGTGTCAATACAAGAATATATTACTATTGAATTCTGCCTAAGTCATGAAATGAGAGCTAAAACAATGAAAATGAACATGATGAACAAGTCGGCGGTGTCTAAAGTACCCAGGTTCTCTGATGGTTTCTTCTCTTCTTCAATTAATCTTTTACTTTTCTCAAGAGTTTTGTCTTTACTTTTCCTGTCCTTATCAGAGCTGCTAGTGCTGCTGTCAGTGTCATCATCGCTAGAACTTCCTGAATCCCTAAAAAGTCAAATTCCAAAAAAGAAAGTGCATATGAGAGCATGATTACTGCAATACTCGTGCTGTTCCTCATAATTGTGAAAAAATTTGCGCACATAGACAGCTAACAGCTGAAAACACTTCATTGAGATGAAAAGGCATTTCTTGGGAAGTAATGCACGACCTTTTAGATTTCCGCCTTGATCTTTTATAGTGCTTCGCCTTTCTCTTATCCTTCCCAGCATCCCTCCTGTTCTTCCCTCGTTGGTTCTTTCCCCTCTTTGACACTCTCCTTTTTTTCCTTCTTCTTCCATCACTAGATGAAGTTGAAGAATCGGATTCTGAAGAAGAATACATATCAGAGTCTGAGGAATCAGTCTCTGATGAATCTGAATCAGATTCAGAGCTGTAAGAATCAGATGAATCAGATGAAGAATAGCTCCTCTTTCTTCTCTTATCCTTCGAAGTTTTTTTCTTTCCTTTGGCTTGATCATCAGAGTCATCATTTGTTGTCTTGTCTCTAGTAGATTTAGATTTTGTCTTCTTTTCTGAAACCCAAGCAGAAATGTGAAAATTAGAAGCAGTTAAAGATACATAAAAAAGACTGATCTGGTTATTTCATGATTGCAGCACCTTTCTCAGCATCAATTTCCGTTTTCCCCTTTGGCATCTCACCACAATCTACAATTTTCACAAGTCCCAATGGCTTTCCATCATCTGTTCCTAACTGTTCCAATTTCTTAACAACATCCATTCCTTTCACAACTTGACCAAAAACAACATGTTTTCTGCCCATTGAACAATAAAACCTCAATTTAGAATAAGACAGCATTTTGAAGATAGGAAGAACAGGCACATCATAACGACCAAACTGAACTATGAAAATTTTAATACCCATTAAGATGAGGCTGGCGCTTGAAAGTTATAAAGAACTGAGACCCATTTGTATCTGGACCACCATTAGCCATTGAAAGAAAACCAGGCCCAGTGTGATCCAACTTGAAATTTTCATCTGAAAAAGATGCAATTTGGATTTCAATCAAATATAATGACAAGCAAGCATACTGAAAGGGCAGATCTCAAATGCCAAAGAATAAATAAATGAAAAACAAAACAAACATACCAGCAAACTTTCCTCCATAAATACTTTCCCCACCGGTGCCTGCAAACCATCAAAAGGAGAAATCTTACATGATTGAGAATGAATATGGAAGGTATTGAATACCTGCATCATTTGAAAGTAGATCTGAAGAAATGCATACCATTTCCTTTTGAAAAGTCGCCTCCCTTCAGATCGAAAAAAAAAAGTGTAAGTTAATCAACAGCGTGCAACTGCGCACATACATTTAGTCCAGGAATTGCAAAATCCAGAGATACAAAAGTGTGCATCAGAAAATAAATATCCAATACTAACTTTTGAACCACTTCAAATCTATTGTTATGTAACAGAACCAGACTCCTAGAGGATCGATCTCCTAATCCTCCGTAAACATAGCAATTAATGCAAATGCATCGAATGAATGTTCTAAGCATATTTTCCACTTACTTGAGCCATAAATCCTTTAATAATTCGGTGAAATGTCGAGCCCTTGTAGTGCAACAGTTTCCCAGTTGATATTCCTACACCCTTCTCACCTGCAATGAAATATGAAATAACAGTGAAAAGAATGAACCTCTGTAAACGATATTTGAGGTGTAATGTTGATGTTAAAACTATAGATTCAAAAAACAAAAGAGAAAAGCCGTTCCTTCTATTTCTATTCAAATTAAACTTGACCTAAAGAAAAAATGCACAGCATGAAGACCAAAAAAAAGAAAAAAAACCCTACATAATTAATACTGCAGAGAAACAATAAAGATAATAATAATAAAAAAATTGCATTGATCTGTTTACCAGTGCAGAGTGCCCGAAAATTTTCAGCAGTCTTGGGCACAACATCAGCGAACAACTGCAAACATATAACATTAATAAGCATAAAAGATATCAAGAGACACAATTTTTAAGATTTAGAAGGAGTTTTGCATAATACAATTACCTCAATAACAATTCTTTCGGAAGCATCTCCATCAATTGAAATATTCAAGAAAACCAGTGGGTTTTTAGCCTTTTTCATATCTTCTAGTCAGAGTATAAGATTAGCCACAGATATCTGGATATACAGCAACAGCTGCTGAAAAAATCCCTTCAACTTCTATAAAAGCATGTCTATAAAATTAAATGACATGAAACAATGCGTATCAGACAACTTTTCATATAGAATGGCGTAAGGATTGACACATAATCAAGCTATATCTGCAAATAATCTTAATTTTGGTTGGCAGGGAAACAACAATTTTGTTCATGAAAGCTTAATATCCCCCACAACTAAAAGCAATTTAAATTTTTATTAAATGTCTTGAAAATAATCAACAGAAAGACGTAACAATAAGCAGAATACACAACAGACCAATATGATTAACCTGTTCAAATTCAAACATCAGAATCACAGCACGATCTAACAACGTTTTGAGCACCAATTCATCAGCGAAAAACGAAACAGGTAAAGATCCAAGACATATAAAGAGGCAGCAAAGCATTACCAAAATCGACATCCACAATCACAACAACATTTTTGCATTAAAAAAAACCGCGAACTACAATCGAGATTTATACACTATTAGATAGCACGCATAAAAGATCAAAGCAATTAACCGCCATTTCAAACAAACAATGAAAATGATAACAACAAAAAGGCACAATACCAAAACCCTAAACCCTAATAACTTCAGAAACCAATGGTGCGCATCTCCAGCGAGAAAACTACAAAACCAACGTACCTCTCCAGCTAGAAACCACTGATCCGTCGGCGGATGCGTAATGATATATCGTTCACCGATGATACTCTCTCTACTACTCACTCATGGATTCCCGTCGCACTTCCGCTTCCACGAGTGACCCTTTTACCAGCCCTTGATCAATGATATAGATGATCCAACGGTCCAAGTTTACTGGGCCATTCAATGATATATATGATCCAACGGTCTATATTTTGTTGGGCCATTATTTAATGAACCAGCCTTTCAAATCTGGGCTAACTTTTGTTATCGGGCTTCAAAATGGGCCCCGCTATCGGTAAATGACCAAAACCCGAATATAATCGGGTTCAAATGGTCCGACCCTGTGAGTTACCCTTTTACCAGCCCTTGATCAATGATATAGATAATCTAACGGTCCAAATTTACTGAGCCGTTATTCAATGATATAGATCATCTATCGGTCCAATTTATTGGGCTATGATTCAATAAACCAGCCTTTCAAATTTGAGCTGCCTTTTATTATTGGGCTCAAAATTGGGCCCAATTATCAGCAAATAACCCAAATCCGAATAGAATCAGGTTCAAGTGGACCGACCCGGTGAGTTACGCTTTTACCAGCCCTCGATCAATGACATATAATCTAACGGTCGAAATTTATTGCGCTATTATTCAATGAACCAGCCTTTCAAATCTGGGCTACCTTTTGTTTTTGGGCCGAAAAATAACCCAAACCCGAATATAATCGGGTTCAAATGATCCGACCCGGTAATGGCTAGAATTGAAGAGCGTGAACTGTAACAATAAGCGCTTGATTATTTTTTACTTTGAAGTTTTTACTCTAACTAATGAATCGATTATATTATTTGCCTAAGAACAGCCCCAAGAGTTCATTCTTTTTCGTCGCCCCGTGTGTGATTGCCGGCTCTAAATTACCCTCTGATTTCCGCTCCCGGCCGGCGAGATCTCCGTACAGGTAATTTGAAATTTCTGGATTTGTTGATCGGGAATTGTTGGGGTTTCGTAGTAGGAGTGGCGCGTCGTCTCGATTTTACCTCGAATCTAATTTCGGGTTTTATTGTTTGGTTTTCGAGATCGTTTTTTGTGTAGATTCACTGGGAATTTAGTCACCCGATTGATTGATGATGCCTGATTTGGCGTCGCCTAATTATGTATGATTGTATCCGCTGGGCAGTGCGCGTGTAATGCGTTTAGTTCAATCCAGATCGTATTTTTAATTTCCGAAGTGTTTGATGCTTTCCTTGTTTTGATTTCTTTTAAAATCTGTTCTTGGTCTTAGTCGCGAAATTCTTTGCACCATACTTGTGTATTAGCTTGGTTTTCACCACGTTGAACATTGTTAGTGGATTTGCAGAGAAGAGAAGATTGCAACTTGAAATTGTACTATACACTAAGAAAGAATCTTTGGTTTTGTTATAGATACTTGCGCATCGTATTCTTAATGAGATTCATTCTGTACTTGCTTGGATGTTACCACAAATTTCCTTAAAAAGTTAACCTTGGCAAAGACTGCCTATATGAAATTGAGATACCTTTGGTGAATAATTAATTTTGAGGATCTAACTTGCTGTTTTTCCTTGATCTTTTAGTTTTAACGTTGCCAATGTGAAACTGTATTCACTATACTTTATTTTTGGCTAATTATATGGCAATTTCAATGCCAAACCTTGCACATATAGTTTATGATGTATATTAAACAAGAATGTGGTGGCTCTAGACTTTCTGACTCACATAAGTTGGTAAAGCGTTGCTTACAGAGTATTATCTTTTGTTTAGGTGGTCGATATAGAGAAAAGATCTTCATGGGAACTGAGAACCTTAACCGTCCAAATTATCCATTAAGACCAGCTGCAACACCTTTTGCTGCTCAACAAGGTACAACACCCTTTGGATCATCTGGTCCTGTGGTTGGATCAGAAGCTTCTGCATTCAGGCCTGCACCTCCTGCTTCCTCTCAATTTCAAAGACCTCCCTTATCGAGTGGACCTTTTGTTGGATCAGAGCCAACTAGCTTTAGACCACCTCCATCAATCAGACCAAATGACCTGGTTAGACCACCTCCACCATCATTGTCGTCCTCATATGGCCCACCAGCTTCTGGATTTCCGAGTTCCCCTGCTCCTCCACCACCCTCGATCGGTCAAGTACCTCCTCCACGTACCTCACTCACAGGCCAGCCTGTAGCACCTCCACTCACCAGACCTCCTCCAGGTCAAGTTCCTCTTACACAGCCCCAGCCACCTTCAGTGCCCATGGGATCACCTCCTCAAAGCCTTAAAATGGGACAACCTAATCCAAATATTCCCCTGCGTCCTGACCAACAATTCCCGCCTGCTAGGCCAAATGCCCAACCTTCAGCACCCTTACCAGGGCCACCTTATCCTACTGCCAGAGGTACTTATCAGCCAGCATTTCCAGGCTATCCTAATGCCCAGCCATCTTCTGTTGCACAAGCTCCACCTATGCAGCCTGCCTCCTTCCCACTACAACAAGGGGGCTTTGCCCCAGCAGCACCCCCCGCTCCTTTTCTTGGACGACAAAGAGGTCCAGTTTCTGGTATACTTCCATCAGGCCTCTATCCAGGGAACCAAGTGCAGCAACATGGCATCACACCTCCCATTGCTCCATCACAGGCACTGGCAGAAGATTTTAGTTCACTCTCTCTTGGATCTGTACCAGGATCATTTGAAACAGGTCTTGATGTTGCAGCCTTGCCAAGGCCACTAGATGGTGATGTAGACCCAAAACCTCTTGCTGAGATGTATCCCATGAATTGTAGTTCTAGAGTGTTACGACTGACGACAAGTGGCATACCCAACTCTCAATCATTGGCATCACGTTGGCATTTACCTGTAGGAGCAGTTGTTTGCCCTCTTGCAGAATTTCCTTTTGGAGTGAGTTCATTGGATCTTATGCCCATTGACTGTATATATATAATACATACATGTCATTTATGTTCCATTTGTTCTGATTATCCCTTCAATTTTCATTCAGGAAGAAGTACCAGTAATTAATTTTGCCACGACAGGCATCATCCGGTGTAGAAGGTGCCGCACTTACGTCAATCCATATATCACTTTCACAGATAGTGGAAGAAAGTGGAAATGCAACATATGCTCGCTGCTCAATGATGGCAAGTTTTCTGAAATTATAGAATCTAGACTCAGTTTTTAGAGATATTGCTATAGAACCGAATCACTCTCCTTGTTATTAAATCATTGTTGAAATCTACATGTTACTGGTCTTTGAACCCCTAACTCTATTATTCAATCCATTATATTTAGCCTTACTGGTTTGTGGAACCTTTTAGATGAAAATAATAATAATAATAATAATAGTAATAATAATAATAATAACTTTCTTGTTTTCAACTTGTTGCAAATAGGAAACAGAATCAGGGAAAAAAATGATTGAATCAGTTCATTCCATCCTCAGTTCTTTATGGTTTTTATATATTTGATTATTTTCAATTATAGAGATACTTTTCTGTTCATTATTAGCAAATCCGACCCTTAGAATTTGGTCTGCCTCTCAATTATTGGAGAACCACCAGAAAGCATAGCACTATAGAAACTGTGTTCCAACTTGCCTGTCATATAAAATTTGTTAACCAAGCTTCTATATGCTGCTATCTGCCTATCTCTTTGCATCATCATATAGATTTATTTCAGTTCAGTTTGTATTGTCTTGAGAAGTTGTATCTTTTGCAAATGAATTTGTTCAATTGATAAACTGGAGGTAATTTATGTAGATTGCCACCAAAATGTGGTACTTATTACCTATCATGTACAAGTTTCAAATTTTTCTTAAGTGGAATTGCGTCACTGACTAATCATCATTCTCAGCATCAAGTATATGTAAATGATGTACCTAGTAATACCTTGAATACTGACCGTGTTGAAGCCTCCAAGCACAATTTTTGGGCTTATGTGATATGTCCACCTATGCCTTAGACTCTAATTATGTCCATTTATAACCTATTTAACTATAAATATATATTGATTATATTCTCATTAGTAATCCTTTACGTTAATTTTGTTTTATGATCTCGAGGATGTATTTTGGTTTCTTATTTGCAGTTCCGGGTGATTATTTTGCTCATGTGGATGCTAGTGGTCGAAGAGCTGATTTGGATCAACGGCCTGAGCTCACAAAGGGTAGTGTTGAATTTATTGCTCCAGCAGAGTACATGGTCCGCCCTCCCATGCCACCACTGTACTTTTTTCTCATAGACGTCTCAATATCTGCAGTTAGAAGTGGAATGCTTGAGGTAACAGTTCGAACAGCATTGAACCTTATATTTGTCAAGATGATAATCTATTTTAAACTGTCAAAATGTAGTTTACATAAGGCCAATTCTTCTGTTGTTGAATTAAGTTTATTGTGTTTTTGAGGTAATAGTTGTTTGTATACAGTCAGGTTAAACTTATACATTTGAGGCTTTAAAATCAGACCGAATTTTACACTAAAGATATGTAATCTTACAGTCTTGCTTAAAACGGAAATGTGTTGTTCTTGATTTTTGGTTCTTTATTCTGCTTCTTCCTGAGCACTAATTAAAATTCCAGAACTAATTTAACTGTGGGGCATACTGGCATAAGTTCCATTTTAGGTGCTTAGAGTTTTTTTTTTCTTCTCTAAATATTTTTAATTTGAAATTGGGTAGAGTCGAGTAGATTCACGTGTAGGGCTGATAATGGCATCACTGGTTCAGTCTATGTATATTTATCATAACTATTATTTCTGTTTGGGTGCATACTGATGAAGGTCATTTTTTTCTATCCATTATATATGCAGCCATTTACCAACCTATTATTGTCTAAAGTTTTTGATGCATCATTTCTAGTTTGTGTAATGTGTTGCAGATCGTGGCACAGACTATTAAATCTTGTTTGGACAGCTTGCCTGGTGCTCCCCGAACACAGATTGGTTTTATAACTTATGATAGTACAATACATTTCTATAATATGAAGGTAACATACAGTTGGTGCCTATTTTGTAGCTTTTGTCTATAAATCTGCTTAGCATACCATGGTGAATGACCATATTTTCTTGTTTTAGTCATCATTGATGCAGCCCCAGATGATGGTCGTCTCAGATTTAGATGATATTTTTGTTCCACTGCCAGATGACCTCCTAGTCAACTTGTCAGAATCCAGAGGTGTGGTGGATGCATTCCTTGATAGTCTACCCTCCATGTTCCAGGATAATATGAATGTAGAATCTGCCTTTGGTCCAGCTCTTAAAGCCGCATTCATGGTTATGGTGTGTTTGCCTCTTTCATTTGTATTACCATTATCTTGGATAAGTAACTGTTGTTTCATTTATCATTGAAAAATCTATTCTAATATCCTATCTTGTCTGGGATACTTGCAGTCTTTAGATTTCTTGTTTATATACTGAAGCTCTGGAAAATTGTTCCCTTCAACTGTGTGCTAATTTAATTTCTGCTGAATGTTCAGAGCCAACTTGGTGGGAAGTTGTTAATCTTCCAGAATTCCCTGCCATCACTAGGTGTTGGTCGCCTAAGGCTGCGTGGAGATGACATTCGAGCATATGGAACAGATAAGGAACATACTTTACGAGTACCAGAAGATCCATTTTATAAACAAATGGCTGCTGATTTTACAAAGTATCAGATAGCAGTGAATGTCTATGCTTTTAGCGACAAGTACACAGATATAGCATCCTTAGGTATGTGTTAATTTACACATATAATCAAATCTTTAATATGAAAATTTCTGTTTTTGATATTATAATCTGAACCTATTGGAGGGGCGAATACTGCATAATACTGGATGTCATACAACGAATTAGGCCTTTGTTTTTTTCCCATGTCTTGTAATATAATCAAAAGGATTCATGAAAGAGCATGGAATTGGTCTTGTACTTAGTGATTCAGTAGGAGTTTTAGTACATAGAAGATTGTAGGCTGGCAACCCATGAATTAACTGTACGCAAAAGTATTTCTGCATTGCTAATAGTCATGGATCATTGGAATTATACTACAGAGATAATGCATTGTAGTTTTAATTAGTGCTATTCATTTACAAAGCTACTGAAATAGTATTATTAACTATAACTTAAAATTAGAATTCCACTTGCTTTGTGTTAATTTCGTAACATGCTATTATCTAATGATTTATAGGAACACTAGCAAAGTACACGGGTGGTCAGGTCTATTATTATCCAAGTTTCCAGTCCAGTGTTCATTCTGATAAACTAAGACACGAGCTGAGCAGAGATCTTACCAGAGAGACTGCATGGGAAGCCGTCATGCGTATCAGATGTGGAAAAGGTGTGACGGGTTTCAAAATTGGAAATTTTAACCGTCTTCTTTGTTTGCCTTACACCAATTGTGCTGTTAGATGATCTTACATCTTTTCTGTATCTGTAGGAGTGCGGTTCACATCTTATCACGGAAATTTCATGCTACGATCCACAGATTTACTTGCACTTCCTGCTGTCGACTGTGATAAAGCTTATGCAGCACAGCTGTCTCTTGAAGAGACACTGTTAACCACTCAGACTGTGTACTTCCAAGTTGCATTACTGTATCCTTATCAGCGAAATCAACACCATACAAATGTGTTCATATATAACCTTGTTTTTAAACATAGTTTCTTATTTATATGCCTTTGCGCTTCATCTTGTTGAAAAATAAATAAATTCTTATATACATTCAATATGTCAGGTTGTTGAGGATTTTCGATAACTCTATGATTGTTTGCTACATGACTTCCACAACATGCATTTTGAGACCCTTTCAACCTTAAACTGGCGTCAATATCGGAATAAAAGGTCCTTAATCAGATCTAAGATATACATCATCCTCTGGAGAAAGGCGTATCAGAGTACACACTGCAGCTGCTCCTGTCGTTGCAGATCTCGGAGAAATGTATCGCCTGGCTGACACGGGGGCAATTATTTCTTTATTTTCCAGGCTAGGTAAAGAAACTTAACTCTCAACTTGCCATCTGACTTCCTTATATACACTTTGCATACTTGGAGAAAAGAGAAAGGAAAAGATTGAAATCTCTGTATATTTATTTGTTACGACAAATAAGGTGTATATTAATGTCTTGAAACGTGACGCAATATGCAGCAATTGAAAAAACTTTGTCCTCGAAGTTGGAAGATTCTCGGAATGCTGTTCAACTTCGAATTGTCAAAGCCCTCAGAGAATATAGAAATCTTTATGCTGTTCAACATCGATTGAGTGGAAGATTGATATACCCCGAATCACTAAAATTCTTGCCCCTGTATGGATTAGCACTATGCAAATCAGCAGCCCTTCGTGGTGGATATTCTGACGTGCAGCTTGATGACCGCTGTGCAGCTGGTTATACCATGATGGCCTTACCTGTAAAAAGTTTGCTAAAATTTCTATATCCAAACCTAGTTCGTGTAGACGAGTTCCTTGTACAAGTAAGTATCTTGCACTTTTCCCGTTTATAGGGGTTAAGGCGAGACCCACAACCTTTATTACAATTAATTACCTGCATTCTTTCTTTTTTTCTGAAGAAATTAAAGGTTTTGCTTTGTAATGTGATATTTACATTTCCTATTTTCTCCCTCCACATTTCAGGGAGAAGAATTCGACATCACAAGGAGAATTCCGCTGACTGCTGAGAGCTTAGATACCCGAGGTCTCTATATCTTGGATGATGGTTTCCGATTTGTCATATGGTTTGGCAGATCTATTTTACCTGATATAGCGAGAAATTTGCTTGGGGAAGATTTCACCGGGGACTTCTCAAAGGTGAGAATCATTTACCATATTATCTATTTTCTTATCATTCTTCTGTTTGTAGTATGCTATTTAAAGTATCTGAAAAGGATTGTTTTCTAATTTGAGTTGAAGAAACATGATATTTATTTTATGCAAGTGTGAAACCGTGCATGATGTTTGTTTAATCAGTTTAATCAGTCGGAAAAACCTCATTGATCTATGCGTTAATATATTGAACACTAGTCATTTATTTAATGCAACTTTTATAAAATGAAAGTCCGATTTTATTTTATTTTTTCAAAGCCGTATTAAAACCCCCCCTCCCGAAGCCTTTGACAATGTAATTTTACTTTTACAAATCTATAGTTCGTAAATCCAAAACATACTTATGTGAAGTGTTCCTAACTTGAGGAAAGCTACATGTTTACTTTACTATTGTAAATCAAATTACGTGAAAGTGACCTCTTATTAGGTGAGTTTCATGCTTCAACATTTAGTGTGAATAAAGTTTTACCGACATTATTCAATTTTCATTACATACGAAGTTGCGTATTGCCGGTTTTTCACATCTTAGTTTGTTACAATTTGTGTTACTGAGAGTGCTACTTCCTGCAGCTATATTGTTAATTATCTCCATTTTACGTATGTTTCGCATTGCCTCTGATTTCAGGTTAAGCTTTCACTAAGAGACAATGAAATGTCGAGAAAGCTGATGACTATACTCGACCAGTTCAGGGCGACTGACCCGGCGTATTATCAACTATGTCATCTTGTGAGGCAAGGCGAGCAACCAAGAGAAGGTTTTTTCCTACTTACCCATCTAGTCGAGGACCAGATTGGTGGCGCAAATGGTTATGCTGACTGGATGTTGCTTCTATTCCGCCAAGTCCAACAAAATGCTTAAGAGAGGTACCGATGATAGTGGTAAGAATGTTGCATTTTTACATTATTAATCCGATACATTTATGTTTTTCTTCCCATTTTCTTACTTGTTGACGACTTTGACATAAAAGCATCGTATTTCTGCTCCTATCACATTGTTGTTTATTGCGCACATCATTTAGCTATGAATAGCAAAGGTGTCGATTGATGATAAAAGTGAATCACCAACGGTTTATTGTTAATTCTTTCTTGACTCCATATATGGCCCTTTTTACTAACTTAGCAATTGATTGATTCATGTCGAGCCAAATATTTTAGACAGCTGAAATCACTCAATTCTAACTCAAACCGTTTATTATCGTGTTGGGTTTGTGTTGACTTGTATACATGATTTGGTTGAAATCTTTGACCAAAATTCAATTATATCGTGTCGAATTTTCGTGTAAGTGTGCATGTTAGTTTTTATTTGTTCTAATGTAATGTGTATAGTAAATTAGGTTGGATTATTTAATATTGATGTAAATTTAAATTAATATGTAGATTAATTGTCAAATTGGATTTATTATACATAATGAATTAATTAATACTAATCGAATTGTCGTATCGGGTTCGAATTGAGGTATCAGTTCTAACTCAACCTGTTTATAATCATATCGGGTTCATGTTGACTCGTATACATAATTGAGTCGAAATATTTGACCTAAATTCAATTATCTTATGTCGGGTTCGTGTCAGGTGGTTGTGTTGGGTTAGTTTATACCAGCTATAGTTTTTACGCTGAAATTAAGCTTGAACAAATATATGTCGGCTTGACTTGCTTTCTGTGATATTATTATAACTCCTTGGACTAAGCAATCTCGGAAATGTAGGAATTAAATATACATAGTTCTCATTATTTGATTTGGCAAATGCTTTGTCAAAGTGTAGTTTCAAATATTTAGGTTCGATGATATACTTCCGTGTTGATAATTACTGTTAGTCTCAAGAAAAATAAAGAAAACCTGGAATTATCGATTTCACTTTCCTCTGATGATCTTATGGTCAGGCAGATTGAAGCTTGAGCTTTGGAGCTGATGATCAAAGTTTGTATTTCAAAGTTTTGGGACGCCATACGATTATGTGTAAGTACGTTTTTAGACGGCGAATCGAATCGCCTGATTAAGTTGTGATTCTGCTACTCTAAAAAGAACTTCCAAAGTGATGGATAATTCATTCTAAAGAGGAGAATTACTTGAGGTGTGCTTTTTGATTTGGTAATGAAGAACAGTTTTTATTGAAAATTTCAAAAAAATAAAGATAGAACTCCATGAATTCATTTCATGAAGCTCTCTTTATTTTTTGTTGAGACACTTGTTTTTTTTGTTTTTTGTGTTATTTCTTAGGTTACTTTTGGTGTACTATTACTATTTTGGATTTTAGGGCTCTGTATTTAGAGAACTAACATCTTTTTATCGAAAATTTTATTGGGTTTGATTTTTGCATTTGAATTATTTATTTAGTTGTTAATTTTTCTTTCGATTGTGGGTATCTAATTGCTAATGAAACTTGCTTTTCTTGATTAATGACGAAAGGATGAATGAGAATAATAAGTATGTTGGCTGCATTTTTACACCTATTTTGCTGTGGTCTATAATAAAGTACATTTAGGATTTGTTCTCTTATACATTCAAATTCAAACCAATATTATTTATGCACCATGTTTTTAATGAAAATATATTGTTTTATTTTATACTCACTCCATCCTTTGGAACTATAGTCTTGATTCTGTTGGGCACGAGATTTAATATTATATTGGGTAAAAAGTATAAGTAAAAAACATTTTTGTCCTTGTGAGTGTATTAGTGTAAAAGATAGTAGCAATTGTGTAATAATAATGAAAGAGGAAGGGTAGTTGGCAATTGTGTAGCAAGGGTAGTTATATAGTGACATGCTTATTTATGAAAATAAGACTATTATTTTTTGAACGGACAAAAATAGAATATTGTACTGGGACAAACAAAAATACTCTCTCTGTCCCATGTAATATGGGTGTATTACTGTAGACACGGGAATTTAGGTAAAGTATAATTAGTAAATAATTAAGAAATGTAATAGTAAAAATAATTATTATTTAGTAAAAATAATGATAGATTAAGATTAAGGTAATTATATAGTTTAATTAAAATTAAGAAAATTATAAAATTTAAAATGTGATTAAAGTACATAATTATATTTCTAAAAATAGAAATGACAAGTTATGTGGGACGGACGAAAATAGAAAATATGGATAAATTATGTGGGACGGAGGGAGTAGTAAACAAGACTATAAAATAACATATCAAAACAAAAATTTAGATTAGAGTTTGAAATAATTACAAAAGACAACCAAACAAATATTTTTTCAAAAAAAATTATTTGCCTACATATTTTTAATTTAATACTCCATTATTATGCTCTCTTTTTTTTCTACATATGTTGTTCAGTGTGTTTGTTCGGACTTGTGTTTGGATGAGAGCTTTTTTTTGGAGGAATTTAGAATTTGTACGATAGAGAAATTTTTTAGAGAAAAAAATATATTTGATTGAATGTCTCTAAAAAAATAAAATAGTGTTAAAATTTTTAACAATATTAAGTAAACAGTTAATATTTTAGGTTTTAATTTTAAATAATAAAGTTTGAAATTAAAATAATTATTTGATATTCCCTCCCTCTCAAAACAAGATTACAATTTCCTAATTTAGTAACTGTACTGTCATTATTTTTATAATACACAATACTAACATGGGCATTAGTCTTTCCACTACAATCCATTATAATACTAATATTAAAAAACTACGTGCAAAAAATAATTTTTATTATAAAATTATAATAATATTAAAACTATTTTTGTATCAGGACGGAGGGAGTATGATATTTTATTATAAAATTATAATTTTTTTTATTTGTTCATATATTTTTACCTATAGCAAATATTTTTTAGTAACTTGTTAATCTAGTCTTCTATTGAAAGTTTAAGATTATTTAGATTTGTTAAGTTTAAATTTATATTAGATCATATTCATTATATTAGATTTAAATCTATTGAATCTATGGTGTCTGTATATAAACATGTTATTTTGATGATCAATAATACAATTTTTAAAATTTTCGCAAATTAATTTTAACATATTCGATATCGCACTTGTTTTCGATTACCACCATAAGGGTGTGTTTGTTTGAGGGTTTGGATTTTGAGTTGGAATTTGAATAGTAAAATTTTTGAATTTGAATAGCTGTATGATGTGATATAAATAGGTGTTGACGTGATGTTTTGAATGTAAAATTGATTTTTAGTATAATATAAAAATTGAAAAATGTGTTTGATTTGATATTTTTGGGGAAAAAAATAGGATAAATAATGGAAACCCAAACAAATCCCTCAAACAAACACACCCTTAGTTTATCAAAAATATATATTATTTTATTAACTCATTTATATACTCCTTTTGTCTGTCCCAAAATAATAGCCTTATTTTTATAAATAATTATATCACCGTAAAACTGCCCCTATTTTTGTTTATTACACAATTGTCACTATTTTTTACATTAATACACTCACAGGGCAAAAAAAGCTTTTATCTATCATTTTTACCAACTACTAATATAATATCAATATTTGTTAAAGTTTATGGTCAATCAAATTAAAACTATATCTATAGAAGGAGTGAATACTTTTTAGATTATTTTTATTTTGTATTTTAATAGAGGACAGACTGGAGTGTAAAAACTAATTTTTTACTTTAATATAGGTGTAAGCATATAAGCAGGCATATTCGATTTATGAATCATACTCATTTTTTAAAATAAATTTTTGAAATAAAAATAGCAATCCTTCAAAATCTTCTAATCATTATTATTTACATAATAGGAAGTACATAATATAATTTCTTAATCTATAAGTTTAAAACACTTGTTTTTTTGTGGATACTTTTCATACAAGTGTAAAAAAATTTATAATATATAATGAATCACTTGTAAATAAAATAAAATTATATGCTTTGAATTTGGTTAGACGAAAACGACCAAATAGTAGATGTTTAAACTATTCCATGACTTTTCTTTTTAATAGTCCCTCCGTAGCGGCCTACTTTCCTTTTTAAAAATGTTCAATAATTATTGTCTTTTTTTTTTTTTTTTTTTTATACATAAAATTTACTTTTTTACTTTTACTTTATTTATTCTTTCATTTTATATACACAAGATTAAGGATAAATTTGTCAATTTATAACAAAAATCCTAATTATCTAAAAATACGTGAAAATATCAAAATAAGATATTAAAAAATGGATATTATACTCAAAAGAAACAATTATTTTCTTATTTTAAATTCAAAATAACTACCAAATAAATTCAATTTTGTATATTGAATGTAAAGCCATCTTCAACGCATAAATTCTATTTATATAGTTATAATTTTAAATATGCAATTGTTGTATTTTAACTTTAATCATAATTTTAATTTTTACCAATACTCTTCAAATATTCAATTTTTTTTTATTATTTTAAATCACTTTTTATATTTATAATTTACAATAATTTTTTTAAAAAATTTAGAAAAATAAAAATATAAATAAATAGAAAGAAAACGCCATTTTTTGGGCAACTTGGCGTCGGTTGACGCTGGATTGGAAATGCATCCATAAGTATTTTGCAACACAATGCAGAATGAAGTAATGAAAACCATTTAACACGAACATACCCTACCTTTCTTACACTTCAAAGACAATAGTAACAACACTGATAAAACCATATATATATATATATATCATCATCATCATCCACTCAACATTTAAATAATATGTTTTCAAATTCTGTTTATAATATTTATTTTATATACAAATCACTATATTGAACGTACATCACATTAAAATATACTCCTTTCATCCAAACAATATGGCGCAAAATTTAAAAATAATAGTATTTTAATTATAATGAGAAATAAAAGTAATGTGACGATATTTTTGTCTTTTTAATTTTTGGTATAAAAGTAATAATGTGATATAAAGTAAAATAATTGTGAAAATATATATATATATATATTTAATGAAATAGTTACTTTATAATTGAACGTACCAAAATAAAAATATATATATTTTATAACTGAACGGATGAAGTATAATATATATATATATATCTTTAAAAAGAAAAAACACCAACCAAAAGGCAATCCATAACACAATTTAATACATACATACATATATACATATATAGGTAACAGGCTAGAGCAGGCAGCTTTGATATTGTAAATTGAAATAAGGGATTATAGTATATTGTTAAAAGCAAAAGCATTTTGATCTGCACCAATGACGAAATTATCATCTAAATTCTAGGAGGACAAAATATTATAATTTATTTAATATTTAGTTAATAAATTTAAATAAATAATAATTACAGAATTATATATTAATTTAAATAATTTTAAAGGACAAATTGTATAAAACTACATAAAAATTAATATTTTTAATATTAAAAAAAATCATAAAAAATATAGCTTAAGGACCTCCAAGAGCCTAGTATAGTTCCGTCCCTGTTTGCGACCCCATTAACGGTTGAAACTACCGCATGATCTGATCCCAATTTCATCTCATCTTACCTCTTCTTCTTCTTGTTAGAAGGCAAAGCAAGCAAATTAGAACTTTCAGATTAGATCAGATCATGCTGGCAGCTTCAACTACTAAGTGGTGCTCGCGTTCTCACTCTACACACAACACTCTCTCTCACGCACACACACACACACACATATATATATATATATACATGAATCATAACAATAGATGGATGGATGGATGGGTATTCTTCTTAGACTTGAGGTCTGTGGAAACTTGGATGAGAAAGTGTGTGGATATATATAGACAGATACATACATAGATGGGGAGTGGGTGGAGGTAAGGAGATCTATACCGTTAAACAATTTCTAATAATTATAATAATAATAATAATAATAATAATGCAGTGCAGGTGCATTTGTTTCCTAGCAACAACTGATGGAGTGCTTAATAAAACTAATACTACTACTGCCTATTACTTTTACCCTTTTCCAGTCTTGTTATTATAAATAATTATATTGTCAACAAATTATTATACAAATATATTTTTTTTATTTAAATTAAAACACATTTTAAAAGACAAACAAAAAAGTCTTTTGTCCTTTATAAAATCAAGGCTAAATTGTTCAAAATCTAATTTCATAAAATTTCGTCAAGTTCCGTATACTTTTAAAATTGCATCAAACTCTCTCGTGGTTTCATAAACTCTGCGTCTAGATCCCTCGACGGTCCTTATTTAACGGTATTTGACTTAAATGCGCCTAAACTGCGATAAATTTTATAATCTCAAATTTCTAAACCCTAAAATTACAAATATATTAATTTTTTTTATATTTAGCCTCAAAAAATAGTAAATATATATTTTTCTGAGATTCTAAAAGTTTATTTTACTATTTTTTAGACTAAATATAAAAAAAATAAATATATTTGTATTCAGGAGTTTAAAAATTGAGATTCTAAAATTTATTTGCAGTTTGGGCGCATTTAAATCAAATATCGTTAAATAAGGATCGCCGAGGGGATTAAACGCAGGGTTTATGAAACAACGAGGGAGTTTGACGCAATTTTAAAAGTACGAAGAATTTGAAGCAATTTCATGAAACCACATGTGAATTTTGTACAATTTAGTCTAAAATCAATGTCTCGTATTTAATACTTCCTCCATCCCATAACAAACTATCCATTTTTCCATTTTGGTCTGTTCCATAACAAAGTATCCATTTTCTTTTTTTAGTAACTGTACTATCTACCTAACATTACAAATATCCTTACAATATACAATATATTACACAAATATTATTACTTTTATATCACACAATACTAATAAGATTATTTTAGTTACTTTTACTTTATTCCTACTATATATCAATATAATATTAATATACCTTAAATTAAGTATATAAAAAAAATTATATATAATATTAATATCCCTTAAACTATGCATAAAAAAGCAAATGATACTTATATAAAAGAAACGGAGGGAGTATTTTATTCCCAAAAGAAACAAAGCTATTCTAAGGTTGATGAAAGACAGTTGAGTTGAGTGGAGTAGAGGTACCTCTAAAAAAGAATGAAGACAAACATGCAGCAGCTGTCTGGTCTGGTCTGGGACTGAATCTTGTCTCTTTCTCTCTCTCTCTGTCTCTTGTGTAGTGTAGCACAGAACAGATAGATGTCCCATGTTTGACCTGCTTGCTTGATTTTGATTTCTGATTATATATTCTGCACCACATCACGCCACACCCTGCATATCAAATCTCATATGTATATATATATATATATATATTTCATGCATACCAATGACCGATGAGCATTGTCCATTGAAGCATGCATCTTCTCTCTCTGTGTGTGTTTTGGCAGTTTCCATTGAAGAGTATCTTCTCTCTGTTCAAGGAGGATAACTACTTTATCTTTCTTTTATTTGTAAAGCTGCCTGCTACTAATGTAATGCTCCTATTCCTATATCCATCCCTATCTAATTTTTGCTCTTACCTATGCTATGCATCAACCAAATACTCTATATTTTTGCATTATTCAACACATTGCAATTAATCAAATACTCCTTATGTCCACTCAAAACATTTTTATCATATTTATTGTCCAAACATAATATTAATTTAAAAGATATATGTATCAAACACTTTCCCAAAGTTTTTCTAGTCCAACTTTTGACTATTTTAAAAAATACTCTCCAAGCACTTCAAAACACAAACAAACAAACATCAAGTATCTAACCATTGCTCAACACATGGCAGCTACCAATTAGATGCATAAACATATGAGAAACTATATATAAAATATGCATATTGTGCTTGCATTTCCATTTGATAACAAGACAATAATTTATTGATAAAGGTAAAAAGCAGAAACTATAATAAATTTAAAATAAAAAAATATATATATTTGGATTGACAAAATATTTAAAAGTACTGATAACTAAGTATTGTTAATCATGGTTAGAGTGGTTGTGAAGTGGACCTAGCTTTGCACAAGTGACACTTGTCTCATGTCCAAACAAAATTCATCCCTATTTCTTTATTCATCAACCCTAATCCAACCAAAAAGTTAGTTAATCACACCTTTGCCCAAAAGATTCTCTTGGCACTTGGATTGTTCTTTGCCAACAAGATTTTAAAGTGTGATGCATATATCCTGTCATGATATATAATTGATGGCATTACTATATATTGATATGTAAAATAATCCTCAGATCAGATATACCCTATTCACACACCCCCACCAAATCACCCATGTAATATGAAAATAACAATTTATTGTTTGGCTTTTTGGGAGTTTGCCTAGGCCTTACTGAGTATATTGACTCTAAACTTCAACGCATACATTTATCTAATAAACTTCACAAGAGAAGAAAAAAAGAATCATGCCTAGAATGAACTATGTGTGCTACTTTGTGTCCTCAAAAGAGGAAGAAGTGAGGCTGCAACAAGATGATCTATTTTGAATCAATTCTTGAAAATCAAACTCTGAAAAAAAATAATATAAAAAATCCCAAAATAGATCATCCTGGCACCTTCACTTATTCCCCATTGAGGATTACTTATGATGTAGTAGAGACGAAGCATGCACGAAGACATTAAGGAATCATACTTGACCAACTCTACAATACAAAAAAAGTTAAGGGTAGTGTTGAGAGGAGACATCAATAATGAATGAATTAATGAAGGGTTTGATTATCCCATCTCTGCTACATCAGTGAATGAAAGAAACATATGAAAGGAAATACACTACTGCTAAAAGCCAAATTTTTAACAGCTAAGTAGGTAATAATTAATTGATGCTAACAGCTAGGCCTGTCTCTCTATATGTTTAGAGTGCTCAGTGCTTCACCTACTACTAAACATCACAGAGAAATAGACAAGACAAGGTAAGACTGGATTTTTAAGTTATAAACAAAAATTGCAATTACAGTTCTTGTGTGGAGAAGAAATTTGATTAAGGGACTTTGTTAATTATTGGGTTTAAGCTTTATTGTGCTGTTACTTGCTAGTTACCTTTCTTTCTTTCCTCTCATTTGAGAATCAAGATTTTGTTGTTCATGGTGTAGACTAATTTGATGAAACTCTGTCAGATAATTATTTAATTGACTATACATATGACTCAATCAATCTGATAAGGTTCAACAAGTCTATTTATTGCCTTCATCCTTCCACACACTATATTTCTGTTCCTGATGAAAAAACCATCAATGGACAGACAAGAAATGACTTGATGAAGTGATGCTCCCCAAGTCATAGTACAAACTAAGCAACAAATAGCAGAATAAAAAAAACCAGAAATTATCAAAAAACACTGAGCAAGTTTGTGGAAAGAGTGGTCATTGTCAATCAATCTCTGAGCCCTTTTCAAATCTGTTAAAGAAGCACATTGGGAACATGAGTATGTATTTATGTATGCCTACACAGAATGACCAACTACTACACATGATCAAAAATAAATAAATAAATAAAACTACACATATCACAAATCATTAAAATGAAAAACACGAAGGACTACTCTACAAAAGCTACATTGCAGTGAGTAGGAAGATAGAGTGGTCCTCCATCCCACATTTGGCGAAGCACTGATAGATTCTCTCTATGCACGATGAGAAACAACAGATAGAATTAAAATGGAGCAGAAGACGACAGAAATCAGTCAACAAGAAACGAAATCACTCAATTCATACAGTAATAGATGATAATGGATTCTCATTCATATACACAAATACAACTTCTATACATACAAACACATCTATACGCATCAATCAACAAGAAATTACTCAATTCAAATTGTAGGAGATGATGATTGCTTCGATACTACATGTATATATCTACATATACATACAAACACATCAACACGGATGACCAAAAATCAGTCAACAGCCAATAAAATTGCTCAATTCATACAGTAAGAGATGATATTGCTCCTATACATATACATATATATATATACAAACACATCTACACGCACATAAATAAATCCACAAAACACATCTATAGCATTTACGCTTCTTCCTGCTGTTGCAGACTGCAGTCCCCTCCCGATTTACCGTATCGCCATTAACCACTAGCTCAATCTCCCCCAACTGTAAATCCACGCAAATCAGGGTGTTAGGGTTCGGAAGTTTGGGCATAAAGCACTGAGATGTTTCAATTATCAATTACAAAATTATTCTTAGTTGGGCCGGGCCCACCTTCAAATGTTCACTAAACTTTATTGAGCTAACATATCGGGCCTATCTCATAGGCCCATTTAAGCTCGGCCCAACTTCAATTTTAATTAATTGAACATGTCTGACGAGACACGTGACACGTGGCCAGCAAAAATTTTCATAAAAGGACAGGTCTTTTACGAAAGACAGTACAATCTATTAAAAATTGAATTAAATGGCAATTGTACAGTTTTTTTTTTTTTTTTTTTAAGCACTTAAATTAATATTACTCGGTATTTTATGAATAATTAATAAATAATTAAGAATATATTAGTAAAAATAATTATTCTATAATATAAATAATTATAAATTAAGATTAAAATAATTAATTAGTTTAATTAAAATTTCAAAAAAAAATTAAAAAATTAAAAATAAAATTAAAATGTGTAATATTTTTAATAAAATGACCGAATATGTAAGACAAAAACAGCAACGTGGACATAGTATAAGAATTAAAATAAAATAAATTATCTAATGCTAAAATGTCAACAGCCACGCAGCTCAAAGATTCCCACTTGCTAAAAAATTTCACTGTCACCCAACCAATCAGATTCGTACAGCACACATATTTTTTTAACATATAAATAAACAATTAACAAGTAAGGACACCTTTGTCCTACACAGCAAAATGGATCGAGCAAAAAACAAATCTTTCATAAAATAAAATAAAAAATAAAAATAAAAATCTCAAGAGTTAGTTTTCGAGAAGAAAGAAATGAACAAATAAATCCCAATAGAAGAAACCTAAGACAAATATGATGACCAAAGTGGCAAGAAAATCTCTTGCAGGTGTCTAAAAAAGGCAAGATTTTGTCATTAAGACACATCTACAAATCTGAAATTATTGCTATTTTTACTTACTTAGGACTTGATCCCAAATACCCAAACCTATCAGCCAAAACATCAACGTTTTCTTCCTCACTATGATCATCATTTTCTTGATTTCGAACATCCTTACCATGTAATCCTTCGTTAAGCAATTCTTGCCAAAATCCCTCATCAAGTTCCTTGTCATAACTCCCCAATTGCTCGATTTCTTCGTCATCGTCGTCGGCGCTGTCGATTTGGCGGCGGCCGCGCCCGAAACCCTGCATTTCCAATGCGAGGGCTTCGAGCTCGGAGACTTGGAAAGATCCCCTGTATTCGAGGGGCTCGATTTTGATCGACGAGTTTTCGGGAATTCGGCTCGATTGTCCGGACTCGATCGGTCGGGGCCGTTTTTTGGTGGCGGCGTCGTCGATGATGCCCTTGCGCTTCTCCTTTTGTTGTACTAATTGATGGATGAAGTCGGGATTCTTCATCGCTCTTGCGAGAAAGTTCATCATTTGTTGTTGTCTGCGCTCGGTGCCCTGAATCCGGAGCTCCATTCTTCGGAGGTAGTCCCGGGTGTGCTGCTGCTGTTGCCGGAGCTTGACGAGCTCCATCATTAGGACATGTTTGTCGCGCTGGAGGCGATCGATTTCCGCATCAAGGCCGAAGCGGCCAAGCTCGACGCAGGGGGCGGTGGCGGAGGAGGAGGAGGGAGCCGGAATTGGCGGGGGGTGGGGGGCCTTGCGGCGGCGGATGTTGCGGAGGAGATGCTTGTGGCCGCGGAGGAATGCCTCGTTGGCGAATTCCCATTGGTCGGGATCGATCTTTCTAAAGCCCTGCAAATTGGGAAAAACTCGAGATGTTTGAGTAGGAGATTCGTGGGTTGTAATAAAATGCTACCTCTATATTGATCAAAGGGCTTCAGGAATTCATCAATCATCATCTTTGTAGAAGAACTTCTTGAAGATTCTTGATTTTGACAGACCTTTAGGAAGGGAACAAGAACAACAGAGTATGTAAAAAAAGGGACTAAATTTATCATTCATTCATTCGATCACTAGTACCATGTAATAACATTTATAGTTCGATTATGTCCTCAATTCAGACTAGGTTAAGACAAGAATCCATCAATGGCTGTCGGAATTGAGATTTAGGGGAAAATGACTAACGCTAATCTCTAATCTCTAATCTCAAATCTCAATCAATCATTCAAATTCTTCAAAATTCGAATCGATCTGAGGATGTCTGGACAGAGGAATTGAATTTTTAGGTTAAGAGAAATTGAAGATGGATAGATTTGGGGATACTTACGTAAGTATTGAGCTGTCGGACGAAGCTGGAGAAGTTGTTGTGCTTGAAGTATCTGGGAAGAACAGTGGTGGAGAAGGCGTGGGGATCCCAAACGACGAAGCTCTGACCACCTCGGCTCCACGAAACGACGCCGTCTGTACCGACATCGTCGACCATATCGAACGTCTTCGTCAGAAACGGCGGAGGACCGGCGTCGTGCAGCCCTTCCATCGGCCGCGGCGCCAATTGCTCCGCCGCACTCGATTCCCGCCACCAAAAACTCCCCGACGATGACGGAGCTCCGCCGCCGCCGCCGCCGTCGGCGGCGGCGGCACCGCCAGGATACTCCTCCTTAACCGGAAACCTCGTGGAATCCATAATCAACCATCAACCAATCAACCGCCGTCGCCGTCGCCGTCGCCGTCGCCGCCGCCGTCGCCTCTGCAATTAACAACAGATTCAGAACCCTAATCAGACACCGGCGGTTCGAATTCGGACAAAGGAAAAGAGGAAATGTGCATGAAATCAAGAGGTGAACTAGGGCAAAACCGAAAGAAATTAATCGAAGAACGAATTGAACTCCACCCCCCTTTTTGTAATGATAATCTTAAAATCGACGAAACAGAAATTCGATTCCTCCAGGGTTTCTCCTTTGGGAAAGAATTATTGTTTGGCGTCGACAAATTAGTTGCTGAATATGGTCGAAAGAGAGACACGCAGAAGAAAGTAGCAGACAGGTGTGAGTGAAGAAGAGAAACTGAACGACAAAGGGGAAGCTAGCTAAATAAGAACAACTCATTATTAATATTTTATTTTATTTATTTATTAAATTTGAATTTAAAAATGAAAATAATATCAAAAAATAATAGTCATGTGCTGGTGGATATTTAGCCTGGAATGTTCTAGACTCTTTGGTGGCACCTTCTATTAATTTTTTATACACTAAAAATTTCTCTGAGGAAGGTTCTGGACGAAAGGGTAGAAGGGGAAGAAGGGATCTTTTGGTGGGAGCCGCGTGGTCCCCACGCGCCGGGGAAATGGTGGCTTAGGTTCGTGTCGGGAGATTTCCAGCGCTCTGATTGGTCGATTTTGGCCCCCATGTCATTATTGGGCAACAGCAATCATTACATCAACATAAATATTTTTGCTCTATATAACTAATTTCTTTACATGGAAAATAATGCTCCGTATCTATGTAAGAAAAATAAATAAATAAATACATAAATAAATAAATAAAAATTGTAACATGTTCACGTGTTTTTTTGGGGAGGTGGCGGGGTTTAATTTATATCTTGATTTGTTTGGTTTTGTATTTGAGGTTGAATATTTTATTTGAATTCGGATTTATATGAGTTTGTTCTTTTATTATTTAAATTAAAATTAACACTATTTATTTAATATTGTTTACAATGAAAATATTATATTATTTTTATAAAAAAAATTAAAATATTGTTTAAACAGAAATTAAAATTAATATTTCATTTCAAATTAATTTCAAATCATAACTAAATAAATACTTCATATGTCCATAAATTAATGTCTTGCTTTCCTATTTTGGATGTCCAATAACTATTGTTTTTTTTTTAATTATGAAATTTACATTTTTACTCTTCATTCATTTATTACTTTTAATCTCTACCATATAATTAAAGGCAAGTTAACAAAAAGACAATCACCTAAAAACTCTTGCAAATATACTTTAAGACAATAAAAATTGGACGAGTAATATTTTATACTATAATTTAACAAAAATAAAAAATACTATTTTATTCTAATAATTATATTAGTTCTTCTTTGGTTTTGTTTACTAAACCTATGTAAAATTTTTGCCTAGGCAAAAGTTTATTACTCTCTTTGTTTCACTTCTCATGTCCATATTTTTATTTTCATCCGTCCCACTTATTTTGTCACTTTTCTTTTTTGGAAAATAATTATACATTTTAATTTTATTTTTAAAAAATTTAATTTTTAATTTTTTAAATTTTAATTATACTAATCAATTATCTTTATCTTAATTTATAATTATTATTATTATACGATAATTATTTTCACTAATATATTTAAAATTATTTATTAATTATACCCTTCATAAATTCTCGTGTCTAGTCAAATTATCCGGGACGGAGGAAGTATAATTTTATTTTAATAAATAATAATGTGATACCTCCGAAATCCATAAAGATAAGTTAGGGATGATATGATACATCAGTGTTAAAAAAAATATATAAAATTTAAATAAATTAAATAATTACTCGTATCAACAATGTGTAATTAAACCGTGTTTCATGTAAATTACTTTTAGAATAAATGATTTCATGGGAAGTTTCTCGAAATGAGTAAAAACAAAATTGTGCTGAAATAAAAATATAAAATAAAATAAAATCGAAAGTAAACATGTCTTTATTTATTTGCTTACGATTTGTTTGTTTTTGTTTTTTTGGTCCAAATAATAATGTGGTATAAAGACATGGGTCGAATCTAAAATATTTAATTAATTAATGAATATTGAAGGACAAATTCCATTTTATATATAGATACGGGTGTATAAACAAATAAGTACAAATCATACGTGGACGAAATGTATTAAAGATATTTGTCTTGAAATTCTGCACAAATTTTGTGGACCATTCTGCCCTCCAATTTTTATAATTAAAAAACTACGTGCAACTTGCTACGTTTCTTCCAGAACTTTCCACTGTCTTGTCTGTCATCTGCAACTTGCACATTGATTTTTATATATTCATTTATTATTATTATTATTATTATTTAAAATTTTAACTTATAATAAAATAATTTAAATTTTCACACTTAATTTTATTACAAGTTTTTAAAGTGGAAGTGGGTTCATGATATTACTTGGACAGGCCTAATTTGGCCCAATTATATTAATAAGCCCATTGGGCTGATTACTTGGGCCGGGCTTCTCTGACAAGTGCTGATATAGCCCATTCGTAATATATATATATACCTTAAAGAATATTTATTTTTCTTAAACATTAAAATTATTATATTATGAAAATTAAATCGGAGCTTAATAATAATAATAATATACTTCAATAGATATATATACTCAAAAAAAAATAAAATTGGTGAAAAAAAAAAGAAGCAAAGTTATATTTAGATAAAGGTTTATGAATTTCAAAACTTAAAAGCAGTCAATATTATGTGATGTTTTATTTTTAAAAAAAATATTTGATTTAATTTTTCAAATACTATTGATAAATAGTCACAAAACTTCAAAAAATATTTTTATATGTAAAAACCGAGCCCAAAAGTCAAAACTCAATAACATACTTGAAATAATAAGGATGTTGTTTTGGGGAGTTTTGATTTTTATTCATTGAAAAAAATAATAATAATAGCAAATCAAATATATATTATTTTTATAATATTACACAAATAATAATAATAATAATAATAATAATAATAATAATAATTTTATATTTAAAATATCAAATTAATATTTATTTATATTATATTAAATAACTATTTAAAATTCAAATTCAAATTTTAAAACCCTAAAAAAAAAAAAACACATAATTTAGTACTCCGGTGCTCCATAGTTCTTGCTATAAGATAAAGTGTAAATACTTTGGGTTTGTTTCTTTTGTCTATGGTGACCATTCCGATTTTCAGTTCAGATTTTGCCAAATCTGAACTGATTCGAAAATTCAAAATTTTTGAAAAAATCAATCCGAATCGAACTGAAATAATCAAAATTCGAACTAAAAAATTTGAACCAAACCGAAAAATCCGAAATTCTAAATATTTTAAATTTGTAAATTTCTTTTATATTTTATTATTATTTTATAATATTAAATTTATATAATATATAAAAGTAAATATATTAAAATATAATTAATAATTTTGAGTTTTTTTTATATTAAATATAATATTTTCTAAAAAAATATTAAATATATATAATAAAAAACATATATTAAAATATTATATTTCAGATTTCGGATTGGTTCGGATTTTAAGTATACCGATCCGGTCCGATCCGAAAATTCGAAATTTGTCAAAAATTCAATCCGAACCAATTCGAAAATTCGAAAAATCTGAACCAAATTTTAAATTTCGGTTTGGTTTGGATCGAATTTTCGAATTTCGGATATTTTGCTCACCTATACTTTTGTCCAAAACCTCATGTTATTACTATTTGGATTCTGAAATTTTAAAAAAAATTATATATTTTTTTTATCTCACAGAACATTTCATCATACATTATTTTAATATCAATTTTAAAACCAAAATTTTTCCAAAACTCATAAAAATAACCGTACCCTTTGTTATTTTGTCTATCCAAACACAAAATGTATATTTCAATTTTTTAATAAATGTGATCATATCACCGATTGCATATATCATTACCTTTACACTTATTTACATTCATATTATTACATTATTTTACATAAAAATAATAAATAAAGGCATAAAGCCATTTACATAATTAAATACAATAAACTACTATTTAAATTGTAGGGAAAAAAATAATTATCATCTTAATGTAACTAAAATTTATCAATTTTGATCGTAATATAAAAAACTCATCAATATTAACCTTGAATTAATTTTGTTCAATTATAAACAATTTCAATCAATTTTGGTCATACCGTTAACAAATTAACAGAAATTACTGACGTGGACACAACGGATTTGAAGTGGCAGCTGACCTGAAAACTACACGGTTATAATATTTAACTGTACAATTATACACTATCATGTTTAATTCTACACTTAAATTTTATTTTTTTGTTATATTTTTTAAAAAATGGAATTTATAATAGTGTGAACAAAATTAATTAAACTTATTTATAATGGAACAAAATTGATTCAAACAGCTTATAGTGTAACCAAAATTGATTTTTTTTTGTTTAATTCAACGTGTCAACTATTTTTATTAATTTTTTTAACAGTGTGATAGAAATTGATTAAAATTATTTATAATAAAATTAAAATTGATGAATTTTTTTATATGAAGCTGAAGCAAAATTAATTTTTTCCCCTTAATTTTAATATTTATATAAAAAAATAAATACATACCTTATAACGAGTAAGGGGTATCTATTTTTATGTGATATAATAAGAACTAATTTCATGTAATTGATATATATATATATATATTTAGGAATGATGGGTGTGTTTCTTTTAACAAAAAATGTCGATACGATTCCTCCAAAATTATTTATATATCATACATATGTATTATTTTTTAAAATTTATACACAATTTTTCATATTTTACATAAAAAAAAAAAAAAATACTCATTCAATTTTATCTCACAAAATAAATACACCAACAAGTTATAACAAGCCATCTTTTACGGGACCACATAACATATCTTAGTGTTTAGGAGTATTTAAAAAGAGCCAAAATTTATTCAACTATATAATTATTATTTAAAAAAAAAAAGAAAAAAAAAAAAAAAAAACCAAAATATATCCAATAACCGAAATTATTAATTGAAAGATCCAAATTAGCCAATGCAGAGATTCGGAAGACAGATTTTGTGAGCCATTATTATTATGTGACACGGAAAATTTTCTAAATGTGAAGGGACCCAATCCAAATAATTCGCAACGACGTCGTATAAGGCATCTTTCGAAACGACGTCGTCCCACCCACTCATCAGTCATCTCCATTATTCATGGATTTTGATTGATATAATTAATTAATTAATTAATAAATCCTTCCCCTAATTTTCGTACTGTAAAAATACAGCAGTGTCTCGCTGCAGCCTTTCTGTCTTCCAACGGATATTTAAACAATAAATCGAAAATTTTAAACCCAAAAAACAAGATTAATCGAGAGACAGAAAAAAAAAAAAAGGAAAAAAGGAAACTTTTCTTTTTTCCAAAATCGAAAGAAAAGCAGAGGAATTTGAGTTTATGGATTTGAGTTCCATTCCACTTCCAAATCCATCGGTTTGATCCACACGGCGCTCGCGCGTCTCCCGATTCTCGGTTTCCGATTTCTGGTCTGTGAATTCGAGCCGAAGGGGCAAGTGGATTTGGTGTTGATTTTGGTTTAGTTACTTCCCCATTTGGTGTGTTTGTTGGTTGGATGTTTCTGTTATCGTTATTAATTTTTTCTTTCTTAGATTTGTTAGACGTCTGTGGTTTTGGTTAAATCTCTTCCCCCCTCTCTCTCTCTCTGTAGAGATCTTATGCAATTTGTAGCAGTTGTTTCTCAGATTTCTATTTATTGGTGCAAATCGAGGGTTTCGGTTTCGAATCTAATAGGAATGAATCCCTAATTTTGATGCTGAGGAATTCAATTGAAAAAAAAAAAATTGTATAGCTAGGTTAGGGTTAGGGTTCTTACATTTTTGTTCATCGCAAAGTTGCTATTGTTGATAGCTCGGAATTTCCTCTTCTGTTCGCTTCGATGAGGACACTTTTTCAGTCGGATCCTTGTAAAGAGCCACAGCTGAATGCATTCAATCCGCAGTCATGGCTGCAAGTTGAGAGGGGGAAGCTTACGAAGCCATGGCCGTTGCCGACGCAGTCGTCGTCTTCTTCGTCGTCGTCAATGTATGCTCCTTATGATCGACTGTTTACAGTCCTGTCTGTTGATTTGATGCTAGTTTTGCAGTGATGATCTGAATTTTTGTCTAATATGCTTCTTATGATCGAAAGTTTGCTGTTCTGATTACTGATTTGATGTTAGTTTTGGTAGTGATGATCTAAATTTTTTGCCTAATATGTTCCTTATGATCGAAAGTTTGCTCTTCTGAATGTTGATTTGAATTTTGATATTAGTTTTGTAGTGATGATCTGAACTTTTTGTCCAATATATACCTTGTGATCAAATTTTTGCTGCTCTAATTCTTGATTTGATGTTAGTTTTGTTGTAGTGATGATCTGAATTTTTTTTTTTTCCGAATTGTGTAGAGAATCTCTCATCAAGGTTCCCGAGCCTCGAATTCATCCGTTCTATAAGCCTGTTGATTACGTCGAAGTTTTGGGGCAAATTCACGAGGAGCTCGAGTCATGCCCTGCGACCGCGAGGTCGAGTCTTTACTTGTTGCAGTATCAGGTGTTCAAGGGGCTCGGCGAGACGAAATTGATGCGGCGGAGCCTCCGTTTCGCGTGGATGAAGGCGAGCAATGTGTACGAGAAACTTGTTTTCGGGACGTGGTTGAAATACGAGAAGCAAGGCGGGGAGATCATCTCCGATTTGCTGTCGTCCTGTGGTAAATGTGCTAAGGAGTTCGGGCCTATAGACGTCGCCGCCGAGTTTCATATGGAAGAAACTCCGAGCTCATCTTTTTTGAGTGTGCTGACGAACGACTCTCTTTTTCAGCATACTGTTTCGTTCGAAATCGGAGACGAGAAAATATTGTGCGACCGGAAAAGGATGGCCAGGCTTTCTGCGCCGTTCCATGCCATGCTTAACGGCTCTTTCACCGAATCCGTCAGCGACAATATCGAATTTTCGAAGAACGATATTTCCCCTTCGGGAATGAGGGCCGTCAGCGACTTCAGCGTCACGGGAAGCTTGAGTAAAGCGTCGCCGACTCTCTTGTTGGAGATTTTGGTTTTTGCCAACCGATTTTGCTGCGAGAGGTTGAAGAACGCTTGCGACAAGGAACTTGCTTTGTTGGTCGCTACCGTACAAGATGCTGTCGAGCTCATGGATTTTGCGCTCGAGATGGATTGTCCGATTCTGGCTGTTTCTTGTCTGCAAGTTTTTCTTCGTGCGCTACCCGATTCGCTAAACGACAAGAAGGTTGTCGAACTTTTGGGCAATTTGGATAGTAAGCAGAGGGCATTAATGGTCGGGCCTTCCGGGTATTCTCTATACTCCTTTTTGGTCGAGGTCTCCATGGACTCCGATCCTTCCTCCGACAGAACAGTTATGTTCTTGAAGCAGTTGGTCGATTGTGTCGATAACAGCCAACAAAAGATCGTTGCTTTCCATCAGTTGGGATGCATTAGGTTGTTAAGGAAAGAATACGACGAATCAGCGAAGATGTTCGAGGTTGCTTTCAACGAAGGGCATATTTATTCGGTCGTCGGCCTATCCCGAGTGAGTTTCGTCAAGGGGAATAAAGACGAGTCGTACGACAAGATCGACCGTGTAATATCCTCTCATACTCCGCTCGGATGGATGTATCAAGAGAGGTCATTGTACTGCGACGGCGACAATAAATGGGCGGATCTTGAGAAAGCGACGGAGCTGGACCCGACGTTGACGTACCCCTACATGTATCGAGCTGCGTCGTTGATGAGAAAGCAGGATGTTCAATCGGCCCTTGCGGAAATCAACCACGTTCTTGGATTTAAGCTGGCGTTGGAGTGCTTGGAGCTCCGCTTTTGCTTCTATCTCGCTCTCCAAGACTTCCAATCCGCTATTTGTGATGTTCAGGCGATTCTAACGCTTTCCCCCGATTACAGAATGTTCGATGGGCGAGTCGCGGCTTCCAATCTCCGCACCCTTGTACGGGAACATGTCGAGAATTGGACAACGGCTGACTGTTGGCTGCAGCTTTACGATCGATGGTCCTCGGTTGATGATATCGGATCGCTCTCCGTTATTTATCAGATGCTCGAGTCCGATGCGCCTAAAGGAGTTCTGTACTTCCGACAGTCGTTACTTCTCCTCAGGTAAGCCTTACGATATTATCTTTGGATGCTCGCTATAATTGTAATGCCGTTCGATCTGCAAACAGGCTCGGTTGCCCTGAAGCGGCCATGAGGAGTTCGAAGCTAGCTCGGCAGCACGCGTCGACTGAGCCCGAAAGATTAGTTTACGAGGGATGGATCTTGTACGATACCGGCCATTGCGAAGAAGGGCTACAAAAAGCCGAGGAGTCTATCAATATCCAGAGATCCTTTGAAGCTTTTTTCTTGAAAGCCTATGCTTTAGCTGATTCGAGTCAAGATCCATCTTGTTCGTCAACTGTTGTGTCCCTTCTCGAAGAAGCTCTCAAATGTCCTTCCGACCGGCTCCGCAAAGGCCAGGTACATTTCTCTGAAATTCTATATGACGGGCTTTTTGTCGATGATCTTAATATTTCCATTCTTGCTAGGCTCTTAACAATCTTGGAAGCGTGTACGTTGACTGTGGTAAGCTTGATGCTGCGGCTGACTGCTACATAAACGCCCTCAAAATCAGGCACACCCGTGCCCACCAGGGGCTGGCTCGCGTACACTTCCTCAAGAACGATAAAAATGCAGCGTATGCAGAGATGACGAAACTGATCGAGAAGGCAAGAAACAATGCTTCTGCTTACGAAAAGCGATCTGAGTACTGTGATCGCGAACTTACTAAAGCTGATCTCGAAATGGTGACTCGCCTGGATCCTCTCAGAGTCTATCCGTATCGATACCGAGCAGCAGGTTCGTGTTCGTCATCTCTGCTCCTTCGAAAGGATCGCTACACGTTTCCTGATATCTAATCGATTTTAGCATTCGACACTTTTTATGCGCAGTTCTGATGGATAACCACAAGGAGAAAGAAGCGATCGCCGAGCTGTCGAGGGCGATTGCGTTCAAGGCAGACCTTCATCTTCTTCACCTCAGAGCTGCTTTCCATGAGCACATTGGCGATGTCATGGGAGCTCTGCGGGATTGCCGCGCTGCCCTCTCGGTCGACCCGAATCACCAGGAGATGTTGGAGCTTCATAGCCGTGTCAACAGCCACGAACCTTGAAGAAAGATGGAGAGTAGTAGTAAATTATGGTGAATGAATTTATACAAGGAAAAAAAATGAAAGCAAGGAAATAGCTTTGATAGATGTTCATCTCCATGTTTTTCACCGATCTTTGTATCATCATAACCCCTCCCTCACTTTTTACTCTCTCCATTTTTACCTGATTTTTTGTATCGTAGAATTCCTCCTGTTCAATATAATGTGGTGTTTTTCCTGAATTTCAATTTCAGAACTTCTATTGGATAAGTGTCGATCGATCGACATGTACAATTCATGTATCGAGATTTGCTTGTTAAATTAGATCCACGAGCAGAATTGTAGGTCGATAAGGTTGTTAAATTTGGAGGGAGAAGGATTTTCCATCGTTATTTTATGAATTTGAACACGCGAAGGGAAGCAAGCAATCTTACCATTGAAGATCTTTCGAAGAATTTTTGTCGAATCAGGAGATTGATCTGATCTATTCTGTTTACCTGCGAAAGAATCGATCAGCATCGGAGCTCTCGAGGTTCGAATCTGATTAATACTTTTTGTTTTTTACCTCGATCACGAGCACACATGCACTCCTGTCGCGATGATCGTTTACGCAATCTCGTTTTCGTGAAGATTTCAAGATGCTCGATGCTCGTTTCCATAATTGCACGTCTAATTTCTGATTCTGACTTAGCATACATTCGCAGTTCTGATTCTGCGATTTCTCGAAGCAATTCAACGTAAATTTCTGCTGATGTTGTGTTGCCCGCTAGGTGTTCGATGAATTGTCTGCTCCAGGATTATGGCGTCTGCTTCACAACTTTCCTGTCTTAATCTTCCAGGAGCTTAGAACAATTTATAAACTGAATGATGAAAGGTCTGGCAATTGTAGTATTCATCGGAGCTTTATGTACCATACCTTCTGCTGTTCATGGAGTTTCAGTGGCCTGTATGATGGCATATGAAGAAGGTGGAGCTCGTGCTGTTTTCACCTCACTGGAGTGTCCTCATTCGATTTTCGACGCCAATTCCTTAAAAAACTCGACGCGCAACTGCCAGTTCGCAACGCATAAAGGCCGTAGAGAGTATCAAGAAGATCGCATTGCCTGCAATCTGGAGTTGAAATTGCCACTTTGTGGTAATCGATCATTTTGAATTTGATAGATCTACTGATGATATCTTCGTGTTTAATCTGTTCTCTTTGGAGCCTTACTGGAAATCAAATTTTCTTAGGCTCCTTTGGTTCTTGATTGCAGTTGAAGATGGGACAAGGGAGATTACTGTTGGCATTGCCGCAATATTTGATGGCCATGGAGGCGACGAAGCCAGCGAGCTAGCATCGACAAAGCTTCTTGATTATTATTTCATACATGCTGTGCTGACAGCATACAAACACGTGCTTATGAGCGCGAAAACGAATCATGTTTTGCGTACAGTCGAAAGGTTTGGAGCTGATATTCGTTTTCGATCTAAAATCCAAGCTTCTTGTATTTGAATGCTGATTGTATCTTAACATGACTGCAGTTCTCAGATCACGGCACCTACAATCGATCGCGATTCGCTTCATAAGATATTAGAAAAAGCATTGTTGAGGACAATCAATGACATAGATACTGAGTTTTCAAATGTTCGTTTATCTGCTCACCATTCTATTATGTAATGACACGGATTGCCGGCCCTGTTCAAGTCCATTGCTCGTTTCCATCTCAGGAAGCTCTGGAAAACGGTTGCATCACCGGGTCTACTGGCACTGTTCTTCTTTTTACCGATACTCAGTTTCTTGTTGCCAATGTTGGTGATTCAAAGGCACTTCTCTGCTCTCAGAATGTTCTCGATCGCCCTGAAGGTTCAAATTTCTCTGTTGTATACAATGCAAACGGTTAACAGCCTCGGGCGATATCTTTCCTGAACCTGCACTGCTTATTGTGTAGGCAGTTCTTCGACACAACTTCATGCCGAGGAGCTGACAAGAGATCATCATCCCGATAGAGAGGATGAGAAGGCCAGAATCGAAGCAGCGGGTGGCTTTGTTAGCGATTGGGACGTGCCTCGAACCAACGGTGTCTTGGCCGTCTCCAGAGCTATAGGCGACGTTTACCTGAAAAGGTAGATGAGTTTATTTTTCCGGCAACCCTTCCGGAAACTGTCTTACTCTGTTCAGCACAATTTCCAGGTACGGTGTAACAGCCGACCCCGAAATCACGGGCTGGAGACCTTTCGCCTCAGGAAGTAACTATTTGGTGATAGCATCCGACGGTATATTCGAAACATTGTCTTCCCAAGAAGTGTGCCAGATTATATCTGAGCATGTTTCATCGCCGTCATCGTTGGCTGACCGGATTGTTTGGCGAGCATTTATCACAGGCAGCACTGATAATCTCTCAGCTATTGTAATTTCTGATCTTCACAGCGGAGGTTAGATGAGGTAAGTATTCAAAGCTTTGCTTCAAAATAATTGATAGACTGATTGTCATTACTCTACTTTTGGGATGAGCATAAGGTCTTGAAATTATCGAACATTAGGAAAGAACACTAACAACAAATGTCTGTGATCGAAACGTCAGATTGATTACTGGTCATCAAATGAAACCATAGTTATGCAGAAAAACAAACATGTACATGACTTAGGGGAATCAATTAGTAGCCTACTCAAAGTTATCCGGATGAAAAATTGCATTCTTCAGCACTTTAATCATCCACCGCTTGTCCACCAAAAGACCTGAAAATCAGCAGATACATAATTATTTCTTGTTTATCTTCTGATGTTCTTATAAGAACGTTTTTCTATAGGTAGAAGCTAAAAATAGAAGAACATATGCCGAACAATGTCCTATCCACACTACACAAGTTGACTATACAAGAACAATGTAGGCTGAACTTTTTCTAATAGAATATAGAATGAGATAACCAAGTTGTAAACAGAATCCTTTGAGGTTAGTTAAGAACAATCTTTGAGAATGAAAATCTTACCTTGGTTACACAAACGAGTAGAAAAGCAGAGTCTTGACTGAATCATCATTGTCCGGCAGGGGTAGAAGATGGTCTGATTTGGGGCGGGGTTAAAGTGTTTCTACTCGGCATCTGATAGTTAAAGTACATATCCATGCTTGCACACGATGCGGCTTCTGCCTTTCTCTTGCTCTTAAACCTTCACCTAACATAGACGTAAGGAACCAGACAAGAACTACAAGCCCTTGGCAGTTATCCTATCTTTTTAACTCGAACGTAAAGTAGTAGTTCATGATATACCTGTTATTTTTCTTCTCGAGATACCTCTGTAACGATGCTTTTCGGGCTGATGGCCCTTCCCCTGCATGGAATAGGCTGATATGTCTGTGAATATAATTTTTTGTGTAGTATACATTGTTTACAGATACCCCTAAATTGTTTGCAGACTACATTTAGACGATCACACCAATATCAAGCAAGTCATGCCCGCAGATACCGTAAAGTTTGGAAGTTCTTTAACATATAAGCCTACTAAGCTTTTGTCTGTTAAACCACATAAAGATCAAAGCAAAATATATCCTTTATTGCAAAAGTGGCAAACATTATGAACCTGGCAATTAGATATAAACTTCTTCGACTTCCACAGAATACATTAAGTTTGCTGCAATATAGCTTATATGCTAACAATTTTTATTTTTGTGTCTGCGCAGAGCGAGGACTTCCCGAGAGATCATTCATGATCAAGTGCATTAAACTGCTATGGATTGTGCTAAGAGATTAACTATACAATTATTAGCTTTATACGTGTTAATGGAAAGATCCTAACCAGTATTCTCTTCATGAAGAATATAACCTTCTTCTCCGGGTGCTACAGAGTTGTTGCTCATTTTCACTGTAGAAACAAATAGATAACAAAACCATCCGAGTCGTTATCACCAACACAATCAAAATGGATGATTGTTCCGAGGAACATCAACAAATATGCCACTGAGTATTTCTTCTTCTTGTATTTCCCTTTCAGATGTACATTACAGTTACAGGTATATCTAGAGATCACAGGCTGGATTCACCTGTTTGGAGATTCAGCGAGGCAAGAGCAACAGAATCTTGATGGGGCTTGGTGCAGACAACCTTTGAAGTGCAAGGTAAATGCTGAACTGTTTTCGAACTTTCGACCAGTTGTCCTTCTGGAAGCTCTAATGGACTTGCAGCTATATGTAGCAATGCTTGCGCCTGAAAAACATGTGTTGAGAAGAAAGTCATCAAGTGGGTAAGTAAGAGGTAAGAATTCTTGATAGGTTAACTACATCAAAAGTTTCAATACCTTGTTTGCTGGCACATCATCATACACATTTATTTTACCACAGTAAAATATTGTCATCTGTCCTGCCATTGAGTTTGCTGAATCTGTAGGTCTAGAAGAAGGAAAAAAATGGCAGTCTTTAGAAGTGCAGCCTTCAAGGAGGCGGCTATGGAGTCATGTTAACGAACTACTTAACCTAATTTGAGCAGATTCAATGCCGGCAGCAGTGAGACGACCAGAGAAACCGCCTGTGCAATCAGGTCCTTGCGGATCTTCGTCTATGCACAGAGAATCTTCCGCATCTTGGCTTGTTCCTTTAGGATCCTACACGTGTTTTTGAAGTAGATTAATCAACTTGTTTTGGATGTGTTTCGTTTGATAGCATCGCAGAATTGGTTGGGTAAAGAAGTACGCACACTGATGAGGTGAGCAGAACTGCTGCCGCCGCTTTGGTTGTCATCAGAGCGGCGCGTGATACGGCGCCTCCGGCGGGAACCAGCGTCGGAATCCGGCGTCGTTTCGAGGAGCGCCTTCAACATTATCACTTGCTGAATCGCCTGGGACTTGTTCCAGGAAGGTCTCCTCATTCCTGCACCGATTCCGCGATTTTTCGTTTTAATTGTGTACTACTTGAAAGTTCTTTCTCTCGGCGTACCGTGCGTACCTTTCTCCTTGAGGTAACGGCGGCAGTCCTCGCGAGTGACCTGAGCAATGTCATCCTCAGTCAGCTCGTTAAGCGGTTTCTCTAGAGTCGACTTACCGGCGCTCTCTTCCGGCGGCATAGCTTGGGGTTCTGGAACCTCAGTAGAAGCAGGACACCAGATCGCAGGCTAGGGCTAAAAAATTAGGGATTTTCGGGGGTGACGTACAGGTAATAGGAAGTGGTACGCTCAGCGGCGGTGCAGCGGCAGAAATGGCCGCGGCGTCTCAGCCTTGTCATGGAGGAAAAATCCTCTCCACCTTTTTTGTTGTATGATAATTGAGTGGGTGGGGGTGTGTGTTGGCTGTTTGGATGGGATTTTGGGGAATGGTGGGGGCAGCCCAGCTGCAACCCCAGAAAGCCACGTAGCTCTTTCTTGTCTTCTTTTACGTTCTTTCTCTTCTACAATTTACAGTGCTGTCCGTGAACTGATGGGACGTTTAACGACGCCTGCCCTACGCGGTCCCGGGACCTTCCATCCTATTCAACTCCACGCCATTGATGATCAACGGTAAGACCTTGCTTCAACCTTTGAATGGTTAATTGAATCCTCCATGTTTATGGTAGAGATGAAACAGATCCTGTCTGTCTCTTTGAATTGCAGGCAAAGGAAGAGACTTTGCTGCTTAACTTCAAGTAATGGATTGTGTATGCTGTTCACCTCTCTTGATATGAAATTGCCTGTTGGAGAAGACATGGGAGGAGACTATGCCTTTTGATATTCGATAATTGGTAAGACTGATTGGAGCTGAAATGGGTTTCTTCAGACGCACGAAGGTAAAGCTCCTGAAAGTTACAGTATTTTTTTGAAGTTTTACATCGTAGTATAAAAGTTTGGTTTATTATTTTGTATTTTATCACGTTCGCTGTAGAGTCTGACAGGTCAATCTGGATAAGTCTAGAACTCGTTCGCTAGAAGTTCTTCCGTTCAAGAAAGTTCTTTTGAGTACAGTATAAGACATATCTCTCCGGTTTCATAATCCCCATCAACTCTTCCTTCTGCGGGCGTAAGTTGAAGTTAACTGTTTTTCAGGATGTGGAGTCAGGTTACCGGGAAAGATGATGTGGAGTCCGGCGGCAGGCTACTGTATCCGGCGATGCAAGAGAGGCCGGAGCTGCGATGGGCGTTTATCAGGAAAATCTATTCAATCGTTACCATCCAGTTGCTGCTCTCTATTGCTATTGCCGCCATTGTTGTCACTGTTCACCCTGTAAGGGATTTCTTCGCGACTTCCGGGGCTGGACTGGCGATTTACATTGTGCTCCTCATAACCCCCTTTGTCGGTAGGTTTCCTCATCGTCTTCGGCTATTCTAATTTTGTGATATGCTTGTTTGTTGTGGTTGGAAATCTGAAATTAGGTTTTTATCTTTGTGGTGGTATTTGCAGCTTTGTGCCCTCTGTATTACTATTATCAGAAACATCCTCTGAACTATTTCCTGCTTGGGTTGTTCACCGTGTCTCTTTCATTTGCAATTGGGTTGACCTGTGCCTACACAAGTGGTGAGTAATTCTACTCTGATTTTTTAGGGTTTGCGATAGTTTTTCAATTTCGTTTCATTCCCTATTTCCTAGCTCATTTATTGCGATGAAGTGGCTCTTTCTACTGTCCTTTTCCTTGATTTGTTTGGTTGTATTTCTAGTGTATATTGGAAGTAGTAAAACTTAAAATTTGTTTTTTTTCTACTGTATATTGGAAGTAGTAAAACTTAAAATTTGTTTTGTAACACATGTTTTGATTGAAAAATAAATCTGGCATTGCTGCTAATTTGGCCACTCAGATGTTGTTAGTTCATACTTGTATATGGTCTGTATGAATATATGTCATATATTATTACTATATATGTTGTATTTGTATTAAGTTATGTAAATTGTGTGCATTTTGATATTATATCGGGGGTTGTCTGTCACGACAGCTGCCTTTACACTAATTGTATCTTTCACTCTGAATTTTCTGATGATGAAGAGGAGCTGATTCTTGAAAATCCGTTTTACAAATTTTATTTCCCAGGAAAAGTGATTCTGGAGTCGGCCATCTTAACTGCTGTTGTGGTCTTGAGTCTTACTTTGTACACTTTCTGGGCTGCAAAGCGGGGCCATGACTTCAATTTCTTGGGGCCTTTCTTGTTTTGTGCCGTAATGGTTCTCATACTGTTTTCCCTAATTCAGGTACATAATATTGAAAGTTATATGAAAATGGTAAGGTGGATAAGCTATAGAATGCTGATCATATATTTCCATTGCAGATGTTTTTCCCTCTGGGTAAAATCAGTGTAATGATCTATGGAGGCTTGGCATCACTAGTATTCTCTGGCTACATACTTTATGACACGGATAATCTGATCAAGCGATACTCGTATGATGAGTATATTTGGGCTTCTGTTGCACTATATTTAGATATCATCAACCTGTTTCTATCTCTGTTAACCCTTTTCAGAGCTGCTGATAATTAGATGGCCAACCTCTTTCTTACTCTGTTAACCCTTTTCAGAGGTTCTGATAATTAGATAGAATATGGAAAATCCCACCTTTTCTTGTTTAAACATTATATGTGATGTAAGAGCAGGTGTATTCTAATTGCCTGCAGAACTTTTGTATTTAATTGTATTATTTATGTAATTTTGTGTTATGTATATTTACTTTTATTGCTCTGGGAATTGAAACTAGCAGAACATCCCTTGGATCTGTTGCAAGAATTATTCAGGTTTGCCATAATCTGATAATGGGGCCTTGATTGTTTCTCTTTCCACTAATCATATTTCCTGTGCTGCATTTGATTTCCTTGTTAATTTAAGGCTGCTATTGAATAAGCTGCAGATGCAGGAGATGAAACAAGAAGGCATTTCGATGAAATTGACAGAGAAGATAATAACTTGGTTTACATTGGTTTCTCTTAACAGGTTAAGTTGCTTTAGCTTAGCTATTTGCGATATCTTTTCTTCCTTTCAGATACAATGGAGAGAAGCCTTGAAACTCCCTGCGTCCACATGTCATACTCTTTCGTGTTTTTGCACTCAAATTCCACAACTCCACGATCTTCTGTCTTGAGCCCAAAATACCGTCTCTGCTCACCATCCTCCAGCAGATGTCTTCCAGGCCAGGCTGGTATGTCTTTGCAAACTTGTGATACCACATCTGAGTAGGAAACATGCATATATGTCACTTCCAATGAACTTCTAATATGACTATTTTATGTGACTGTAAATCTTACTTTTCTTCTTCTTGGTTATGGTATTTGCTGCATGCTTGCTCTTCATCTTTAGCATTACCTGTGGAACATGTGATGAGAATATGAAAGAAATTTTAAATTTGCATTTCCTGACAGTCTAAGCGGCCCCAACTTACATTTCCACTTCGATGAATATAAACAGATACTATCTTCCAGTGTAGTTCCCCTGTACGAGTTCTTTTAAGAAGTTCGTTGCCACGAGAAAGCATCTCTTGATTGCAGGCAGCAAGAAAGTTCTCTTCAGGAACTAATTCCTCACAGTAACTGCTAGAATTGTTACTGCCGTAGTTATTTCCTGTGCCTAAACTAAGCCCCCTTTCTATAGGGATAGCTGCTGCAACATTCCACACTTCTTTAAGTGTTCGGGCCTTCAATGTTGCAACGCCTCGTAGAGCTTGAAGTACAATAACATATGATGCTATAGCCTGTTAGTTTGTAAATCAATGCAAGAACTGAAAATGTAGAACTCTTTGTTTCTGTTAAAGTTCACCTGTGGCTGCAGCAGCAGTAAGTGTGGATATATCACTATGCGATCGAACATTGACTGCTGAGCTGATTGCAGACATGAGATGCTCGCGATCAGCTCCCATAGACTCGGCAGCCTCGACACACTGCGCAGCCACCAGTGTGGCTGCCGAAGCCACGGCCATATCTGTCTTGGCTGCATGTTCATCGTTTCCCTTTGCAGACGCCGCAGCCGTTGCAGCTGCTATTGCAGCAATGGCTGCAGCCACTCCTGCGACTGAAACAGCCGCATGGATCTGTGCATTCTGTGCTCTCGTTTCTTCTTTCTTCTTCTCCCTTCTCTCTTTTAACCACTTTCCGACAGTTTTGCCACTTGGTGTGCCCGCGCCTCCACCCCGGGGCGTCCCGGTAAGCAGGGGTTGCAGAGGATTGTTTGCTTGTAGATACTGAGGTATAATCTCATTGTGTTAGTTAGTGAAAATTAAATCTCTTCAACCATAGTAGCTTAAACATCTGATCATAGAAAACTCATAAATACACTTGTTTTTGTGCAGAGGGACCACACTGTTGAAAAGGTGAAAATTCATTGAAATAGAAATAGTTTGCAAGAGATTGATTAGGCTAAGGTCCTGCTGATGATTATACTGATTATAGTGCCTGTTGTGTAACAAGTCTTGGGTGAGAACATCAAGCTAAGTGTAGCTGTCAGTTAACATGGAAAAGAGTATATAGGTAAGTCTGACTCTGACATTATCTTTCATCTGCTCTGAGGAAATTAAATTTACTTGTGGCAGTTTGTGCAGTGAAGCTATTATATTATTTTTCATTAGAATGAGATAATTGAGAGATGCAATTTTGTATGTATTAAGAAAATTGAGTGTTCTCATGTACTTAGTGTGATTAAGTGATGAGGAAAGTCAAAAAGGGTGAGTTTTGGTGGGCTAAAGCACTTAGGGAAAGCTAAAATATCTACAGTGGCTGAAGCTTTACTTTCCACATCATTTGTTTCTGATAAACACTCTGTGAAAGATGAAGTAATGATTGTCATACTGTTTACCCCTTTTACTTTTAACATGACCCCATTATTGACCAATGATTCAGTGACCAGTACAGAAATGTGGAATTGCTTAGTAGGGCATTGTAAGCATATCTTCCATAGGAACAGTGCAAGAAATTCTTGAAAAACTAAAGGGGCAATGTAATTATATGTTGAGACTTGAACACCAGCTATCTTAATCTTAATCTTACCTTAACAACATCTTCATACTCCTGAGAAGGAGAGATTGGAGGGCTTTCAGATTCTTCAGGAAGACAGCCGTTCAGAGGGCCACTGCTGTGAGAAAGCCTCCCTGATGTCAGAGGTGAAATTTCCTACATTGTCAATTACACATTTCATGTCAAGAAATGCACTTTAAACAAATTGACAGATGGATTTCACTTTTTAAGTTCATCTACTTACAGATTGAGACATGATCCTTTCAAGGATCAGCTGAGATGTAGCAGAAGAAGCAAAGGTGAATGCATTTCCAGAAAGCTTTGCAGAGTCATCCTCATCTTCACCTGCTGCAGCATTTTCAGGTATTGTGGTGGCTTTAGGTTTTGCAGGAGGATTTTCTGCTGGTGCCACTGCTTTGGACATTTGAAGTGCTGCAGCACTCCATGATCTTGCCAAAAATTCCATCGGCCCTCTCGGGCTTTCTGGCAGCTGAATTTCTCCGGCCGCGCCGCCGTTCTCCTCCCACAGTAAGTCCATCTTGCCACTGTTTTTATTATACATGGTGGTGAGCTAAAAACTGATTGCAATTCTAGGTGAAGCAGATTGTTTTATATGTTGCTTTTGGGAAGTCTTTCTTTGCATGAGTCTTTGTGTCCTAGTAGCACATATATATATAGAGAGAGAGAGATATAGAGAGAGAGATAGAGAGAGAGAGAGACAGAGAGAGAGAGAGAGAGAGAGAAAGAGAGAGAGAGATTTGAATGAGGGTAGAGGCTAGTGAGTGATGTGGCCCCACCTGCTACACTTTAAAGCACTGCTGGTCTTCTTTTAGCCAATGTCTAGAGTAGACTGAGTACAGTGGGGCACCCTGCAATTCTTGCAGTTTGTCCTCCCCATTGGGATCTCCTCCAACAAGCAAACTTTGATCAGTCCACTGCTTTCCCCTTCACACCATGGCCAAACCCTTTTAGACCACTCCACCCCACCCCACCTTTGAATTCTTTTCTTTCACAGTTAAAGATGGATCCAAGAACTAAGTGTTGCATCTATTTCAAGAAACAGTGTGAGATGGTGCTGAGAATGGTGTGTGGGGGTGTGAATGTGATGGTTGTAAGGTTGTCCCCTTGGATGTTTTTGGTATTGGCAACATCAAATTTGGGACCAAACCTGCCTTCTCTCATCTGAACCCAACCAACCATACATTATAACCGAAGGCATGCCTATGCCTCTGCCTGTTCCTGCCTTGCGTGTTGTGACCTTGTCTTCTTCCTTATGACACCACTTTTTTCTTTATCTGATTTCACTAATTTGTCTCAGTAAATAATACTCCATCTGTCCCAAATATGGTGAACATTTGTTTCGGCCCGAGACGGCTTGAGATCAGCCTCATGATAACCTTATATTCTCTGAGGTTTTACTATGTGGAAACGCCCTTTAATGGAACTTTAGCTGTAGCAGGTCGTGACCAAGAAACCACCGGTTTTGTTTGGTGGCGGGGTATTTAGGTAGGCAGCATTAAATAGAATAATTTGATAATCAAATAATACGATGAGAGTAAAAAAAGTATATAATTATTTGAGTGGTGGGATAAAATGTGTGAAAGAAATTAAATATATTTTAATTATTTTTTAAAAAAATATATATATATATTTATTTGAGTAATGTGATGGTATAAATTGTGTGATAGAATAAAAAATATATATATTTATTTGAGTAATGTGATAGGATAAATTGTGTAATAGAAATTAAATATATTTAATTATCTTTTATTTTAAAAATGTTGCAGAATTTTTGAGACGGAGTAAATACTACTCCCTCCATATGTTCACTTTTCCATTTTCCTCCATCCACTTATTGGAAAAGAATTATACACTTATTTCACTAATATATTTTTAATTATTTACTAATTACACTAAATTCTCGTATCTACCGTAAAGCGGACATAATATCGGAAAATGAAGGGACTATATGGCAAAGGGATCAGCTTTCTATGTTTAAAGCATTTGGGCATTTGTTGTTAAAGATATGACCTTTATTCTCTTTGCCTAATTGCTTCAAGAGCTACCACAAGTCCTCTCCTTTCCCTTTCTGCATTCCTATCCCTCCAATTATTCTTATGCACTTATCCTTTTTATTGAAGTTTTGAAAAACAGGTTAAAAGTTGTTACTACACATCACAGGGTTGAGGGCAATTTGGTAAAATCCATTGTCGTCGTCATCAATGTCGTCAAGCTGTGTTCTCCTTGAAGCTCTTGCTCAGCCATATAGCAGTTTCCCTCGGGGAGACTTTCTCCGGCCCGAATGGCTTCAGCAGCACCTGCAGCTCCTCAAACCGATCCTGCTGCAGCAGCCGCGCGCTGAACTCGAGCAACCCTTCCAGGGCTTCCGCACGCTGTTGGTATGACGTAGTATCGAACCTGCCGCGGTGCCGGGAATCTGACGACGAACGCATCGAATCCGTAGGATTATGCCCCGACCACTCGCTTCCGTTGTTGCCCTGCTGCCCCGCAAAGGCTCTGTCTCGTATCTGAACCATACACTTGTCTCTTGTTGAGGTATAAGACGACTGTGAAGATATCAGGAAAAGATCGTCTGTGGAAGCAACAGGGAACTCGGCCATCTTGTCGATACGTGGACTGTTGACAGAAACATCGGGAGATCCGACTCCTCGAAGCAGTCCGGCAGCAATGGTCGTGTAATCGGGACGAGGAGGTGGAAGAGAGGCCCGGCGTGTTAGTTGGGGATGTCTTCTGGCCGGGGTATGCGACACCGGCAGCTGCAAAGAGACGATCGTGGACTTAACAAAGTTGGCTCTATTGACTTGAAAAAGATAGAGTTCGAAGTACCCGTACCAATTCGCGAGTTGAACCGGGGTTAGATATCCTCGATCCCGAGTATGTAGAAGTTATTCTGGAGTTTCTTACAGCGCCCAACAGTGCGGTGGTTTCTGGCCTTTTTACATCTCTGTCGTCGCCAACGCTTCTACCGGATAACTCGGACAATCCGGCCGTGGAGATTTGATTTCGTGATATACTAGGATTCATCACTCTGTCATTACCCGAAGCGAGCCTCTTGTCTATCTTTACACCTTCGGGTTCAAGGAATCTTGTCTTCTTGACATAATTTGCATCAGTTGTTGTAGAAGGTAATGTATGCCTTCTGGGGTTGTTGTTCCTCTCGAGATGAAGGCTAAGAACATACGGTCGAAGATGGGGATGCCCGAGCAAATCTGCAGCCTGGATGGTAAAAAAAAAATGAAAGAGGGAGCGAGGTAAATTGTTACATATAGCTTCTAAATCTAGCTATGGGAATACGGTGAGTTGAACTGTTAAACGAGCCAAGCGAGCTCAAATATCGGTTGTTCGAGCTCGAATTCAACTTGTTAATGATATAGGCTTGGCAGATCTCGTTAAGAATTCGAGCCAAAATAGTGGCTCGAGCTCGGCTCGTTAGGCTCAAATACAAGCTCGATCTCGGCTCGTTAGGCTCAAATACAAGCTCGAGCTTGGCTCGTAAGGCTAAGTTTGAGCTCGAGCTCGGCTTGAATTTTATACATATTCTATATATTTTTTAATATATAAATTAAATATATTATCTTAATATATAAATAATATAAATATATTATCGCTAATGAGCTCAATTGAGCTACTGGCGAACTGAAGTTCGCCTCGTTTATAAAAAAAGTAACTTTCGAGCTCAAGCTCGGCTCGTTTATCTCTATAGACAAGCCGAGTCGAGCTTGGCTTGTGAGCTACTCGATTCGTTTAACAGCTCTAATGGTGAGCGTACGCTGGGTCTGTGCTCGGGATTTCTTCGGATCATACTCTTGACAAGCCTGCGGCTGTATATAAGACAGAAAACACAAAGTTAGCAGCAACAGTGAAAATTGGTTGGATATGAATTCGAAAAACTCACAAGGGACTGGAATATATGGTCGGAAGGGGAGCCGTGATGGATTTATTTATTTTGTTGATCAATCCTTGGATGTCCTGTCGATAAAGGAGCAAATGAACGTCGAAAGAATTGTACCGAATGTATATATATATATGTCGACAGGTAAATATCATTCGGGCTTACAAAGGCTTTAAACGCGGGTTTGAGCGCAGCCATTTCGTGCATACAACATCCTGAATACAATACATCAAAGTTTTATGTACGGGTAAGGAAAGAAACGCGTAAATAGCAAGATTCGAGACTATGAGGATTACCTAAGGACCAGATGTCGGATTTGGAACCGTAAGGTATGTCAGCAAGAAGCTCGGGACACATGTAACTCGGCGTGCCAACAACCTGCAGCCGTATTAGATATACACGATTTTAAGATGAGGAAATCGGGAAAAAGTTGGAGCGTGAAGCTGATGTTCTTACAGAGGTAGCGAGTTCGTCGGAGGTCAGTACTTTAGCAAGACCAAAATCACCTGAAAATGGAAGAAGCTCGACGAATCAAATACCGGATGAATTGGTTGTTAGTATGCAAGAAAATTAAAGCTGTTGTACGAAATTGTTACCTAGACGTATGTCCTGATCTTTCGTGAGAAATATATTCGAACACTGAGAAAATTAAGGAATGAAACTATTGTTTAGATCTCGGTCAGCTAAATAATGCAGATTTAGTCATTTAGGCGTACCTTGACATCACGGTGAAGTATATGGTTGGCTTGCAAGCAGTCGAGGGCCAGCAACAGTTGAACTAACCATTTGCAAAGCTTCTGTTCATCGTTTAAGGCGTTGATGTAATCTAAGTATTGAAAAATGTAAATCTAGAACTTGTAAGAACTTGTAATAAACAGGCAACAACCTCCTCAGAAAAATGAACTCCATTCGCCTTTTTAATGGCTCCGGACCTACGGGAAAATGCTGAATTCAGAAATCTAAACTATTCGCCATTGTGTTCCCGAGTTTCAATAAGCATAAGATATGCAAGAGAAAGAATCTCGAGTAATTGGGAACTTACATGTCTCCCCCCTCGCAGTATCCGATCACAATGCATACAAAACAACCCTGAAACGAGCAACGGGAACATATTAAAATAAATTTGTAGTATAATATAAAAAAGAAAAACAATTATTGATTTCTGAATAGTAAAACTCTTTAGTAAAATGATTCAAATATAGTCGGTGTTAATTTTCACGTCAAATTCTAACCAAATAACACCCAAGTGTGGCCATAAAGTCGATCCCAAGCTTCCAATATCGTAGTTTACTATAAGCATAGAATTGCAAGAAATCATGTATCGTGGACATTACCTTTTCAATCCATGAATCTTTGTACTCCACAATGTATGGATTCTGGACTCTGGAAATAAGCTCCATCTGCAAGGAGAAGAATTCGACGTCTAATTAACAAAACACAACATACGAAATCATCAACCAAATCCTTGGCACCTTATGTCAATATTCCTCGAGGATTTTTTACTAAGTTATAAACAACAAATATTCGTTTAACTATGGAGTAGTCATTCTTCTAACACTCCTCGAGTAAAACAAGACATTGAAACCTAATTGAAAACATATGTCAAGTCCGGAAATCGAACCACAAAAAGAACTTCCATTTTTCCTAAATTGTGCATATTTTTAGACAACAGCTTAGTTAGTTAAACTGATCAACCTACAAAGCGAAAAATGCAAATTAAGTAGTGACCTCTTGGTGGGCAGATCTTCGAGTTCTATCAGTTTGTCGGGCAAGTCGAATCTTTTTCAGCACATACCTTTTAGTTTAGGATTAAAAACGAAACCAATAAGTCGGCCATCAGACACAAAACTTGAAACAGTGTTAACTACAAATAATCAACATGCATAAGCATTCTATGAAGAAACAAAAGCTGTTCGAATCCCTTACTTCTTCATCTTTTCGTGTTTATGCCGGACGAGCAGGGCAGAACCAAAAGATCCTTTACCAATCTGCTCCAACACCTCATAATTCTCCATTTTACTACACTTTCATCAACTATCTTGGTCCAAACACACCACCTGAGGACACCAATCAAACGAAACTGCTTTGGATTATGTTTAGTTATCTAATTTCAGATAAAGAACAGATAGAAAATTAGAAATATAAAACATCCCCAAAATACATTGCAGAGCTGCCATGGAATAATGCCTAATATGGAACAGCATGTCCAGAGCACAAGAGAAATAGAACAATCAAGGACAAGCATAATAAAGTTGAAATTTCATTAGATGCAAAAAAAACAGGACAAACTTTAACTTCATCTAAACATCATCGTGTTAAAGAAGCTTAAATCAATTGCAGCAATGGAATTCAATGGATATGTTAACAGAGAGGTCGAATTTCCCCTTCAAACAAACCTTCAACTCTTCGAAAGGCAAAATTAAGATGTCTCTTCACAACTCAGGCAACCACAAGATGAAGACAGCACACCATTTTGGTTTCCCCTAATTAAAAAAATTCACCAACCCTAATTATGATTCCATTCCACCATTGCCAAATCCTAACAAGTAAGTTAAGCTTTTGCACAGTAATACTGCAAATCGTTGAAAATAATCCGAAAATCAAACAAAAACTCGTCTTACCTTCAACAGAAGACGAAATGCAGATAGAACCTTTCCCCATTCTTCGCGAGTGCAAATTTATTAAGCCTTCAGGAGGAGGATGCGAATGCAGGCATACGAGGTCAACATACTAGCAGCAACAAATTGAAAATTCTGCGAGGTTCGAGTCTAATCACAAAAAATACTAAACAACAAAGAATAAAGCAAATACGGCAGACAACGCATGAGAATGTCGTCGTTCCGACCACCACACGGAAAAAAGAAAAGGAAATGCACTCCACTTCTTCGTATCAGAGAATTAATACACAAATATATTACATACATTATACATATATATATATATATATTGATATTGATATTGGTATGTGAATTAAACAAAGTGAAGTAGAAAAAGTAGGAGTCAACAGTACCTGAATTGCTTGCGTGTTGGGGCGAGAGGTTGCGGAAAACGACAGGATAGTCCGAGCATCATATATGTATATATGTATTGTAGAGAGAGAGAGAGAGATTTGTAGTAGTAATTTGTAGAGAGAAAGAGAGAGATAAGAAAGAGTTGTGGTAGGGCAGTAGCCAATGATGATCCTCAAATCAGACTGCAAATCTTTTCATCAGCATTCACCACTGCACATCAAACAACATCAGCCAGCCCACTGATGGATAGGGGGTGTTTATTTTGGGGTCCGGATTTGTTTTTGTTGGAATTTGATAATAAATTTTTTTAATTGAAATAGTTATAGGTTGATAATAAAAAATTTGGAAAAAATCAATTTTGGTATCAGTATGACCATTTCAATATAAAAAATTCATCAATTTTAGTTTTAATATAAACAATTTCAATCGATTTTGGTCTCATTATTAAAAAACTAAAGGAAATTGCTAACGTTGCGGCAGCTTACCTGGAAACCATATGTACAATTATACATTGTCATGTTGTTACATGGTCTATACGTAATCACGTTGTTACTATATTTCAGTGTATAATTATTTGATCGTGTTGTTACATAGTTATGTATAATTCTACAGCCGTGTACCTTTTTGTTTCGGTCTATTTTTTTTTTTGTTATATTTTTAAATTTTTTTTTTAATTTAGAATAGTTGATATAGTTAAAATGAGAAAAAAATCAATAACAATTATAATATAATTAAAATGTTTAATTTAAATATAATATTTATCGAGTATATTTTTTTGGAATATTTTGTCTAAAATTCTATTATTTACCAAAATAATTTCTTTTACAAACATCCAATTGTTGTATGTTTGTAAGAGGAAATTTTTTTATGAATAATAGAATTTTAGACAAACCTTTCAAAAGAATATATTTTATAAATTTTAATTATATTATAATTATTATTGATTTTGTCAATTTTAACTATATCAACTATTTTAAATTCAAAATAAATTTTTTTAAAAAATATAAAAATAAAATAAAATTTTAGACTAAAACAGAAATGTACACGGCCGTGTAAAATTATACATAGCCGTGTAACAACATGATAATGTATAATTATACGCTGAAATATACATGGTCGTATATAATTGTACATGACCGTGTACTTTTCAGGTCAGCTGTCACGCCACCTCCGACATGTCCACGTCAGCAATTTCCGTTAATTTTTTAATGGTGAAATGAAAATTGATTGAAATTATTTATATTGAGATTAAAATTGATGAATTTTTATATTGTGACCAAAATTGATTTTTTCTCTAAAAATTTTGAAGGGTGTGTTCGTTGGAGGGTTTGGATCTTGAGTTGGGATAGTGGTAGGATGAGATGATATAAATAGAGGTTGATGTGATGTTTTAAATTTAAAATTAATTTTTAGTACTTCTTCTGTCCTACTTAATTTATCCATTATTTCTATTTTCGTCCGTCCCACTTCATTTGTCTTTTTTTAAAAAAAAAATACAATTACACACTTTAATCACATTTTAAAATTCATAATTTATATTTTTTTAATTTTAATTAAATTAGTTAGTCATCTTAATCTTAATATAATAATATTTTTATTAAATTATAATTATTTTCACTAATATATTTTTTAATTACTTATTAATTACACAATACTTAAAACTCCGTGTCTAATATAAAGGAAACAAATTAGGAGGGAGTTTAACATAAAAAATGAAAATTGAATGTTTGATTTGATATTTTTTAAGAAAAAAAAATTGATAAATTATGAAAAAATTTTATTTGATGTTTTTGAAATAGTTACATATTTTTACCTAAAATAGAAATGTATAAATATGTAAGAAAAAAAAAAGTACTAAATAAAAAATTAGTTATATATTTAAAATATATATATAAATAGTCTAATGATTTTTTTTGTTTTCAATAAAAATTAATCCTATTAAAAATAATTATTTAATAAAAACAAGGTGTATTTCTTTTCTAAAAATTTTCCTCCCCATTTGTGACACCACAGTTAAAAGTCACACAAAATCGGGTGTATCGGAATCGTATATTAGCGCTTTAGAGTTCTTTCAGTATGACTCTCGAAAAAAAAAAGTACACATTATTGACATTAGTAGTCTATTCAATTAATTTAATCTTCATTCAGTATTGGATGACCTAGCACCGGCCCAACTCCGGGGTATCATATTCTCCTCCACTTAAAAATGCAACGTCCACATTGCACCGCAAATATCTGTCAACTTCTAGGTCCCTTAAACAGTTAGGGTAACGATGGTCTGTTGCTAGTCGGCTATGATACCAATAAATGTAACACCTTATATAATAACAATCTTGAAGTGTTACACGGTAACATCAGAACAACAACACCGCACAAAAACACGATGTGTCCTAATGCTAATGGTAAAACATAATAAAGAGTGTAAAATTTTTTATTTACATTAAAACATGCAACTTTAAAATCTCATTACATAAATTTAAAATTCTCAAAGTATCTGAAAAGTGAGTGTGTCACACTGGATTTGAAAAATATTCAATCTAAAAAATTCATGAATGTTCAATATAAGTCTCACCCCAATGATTCATAAATCAAAATTTATCACGCCACATTATAATCATAAAAAAGCCAAAGCATACTTAGGGTGTGTTTGTTTGGGGATTAGATTTTAAATACATTATTTATTCTATTTTTCTCCTTAAAAATATCAAATCAAACATTTATTTTTTATATTATATAAAAAATCAATTTTACATTCAAAACATCACATCAACACCTATTTATATCACATCATACAACTATTCAAATTCAAAATTTTTACTATTCAAATCTCAACTCAAAATTCAAACCCCCAAACAAACACACCCTTAGTACCGGCATCCATAAATTCATAGATGTTGGTCTAACATCGGCGCAACTCTGTCTCTATCAATCAAGTGGCCTAACGCCAACTCGTCAATGTATATGAGTTGATCTAGCACCGACCTAACTTATTCTCAATCGGTATGATGGCTTAGCACCAGCACATCAATACACAGGAGTTAGTCTAACACTGGCCCAACACACTTTCAATCAATTGGATGATTTAGCACCGATTCATCAATACATATAAGTCGGTTTAGCACGGATCAACCATTCATCTCATTAGCTAACCTAGCACCGCCTTTGCTAATTTGCAAATCAACAATCACACATATTATAACACATAATCATATATGCACAAAATCATTTTGAAAGAAATCCCAACTTATATAAATTCGTCATACATAAACAATATGTTCATCATGTTCTCATATCACTTCATGATATAAATTTTATTCTTATAATATATCAATCAAACAATAATCAAATGACCATCGGACATACGATGTTTAACCTCTTACCTTACTTAGAGAAAGCAAATTGGTTCAACATCAACTGACTTGTGGGACTTCTCCTGATCACCAAATACATCAATCAACTTACTCAAATTTAATGTAAATCTTATAAAATTCACTATAAATTAATTGGAAGCTCAAACATTATGAAATCAGTGTCGAATCAAAACTAACATTCTTAAATTTTAGTTTAAAAGACCAAAAATTCGATTAATAATTTGAATTACATCCAAAATATCATCTTAACTAAAACAATCAGTTCGATTCAGAAAAAACAAAACAAATTTCTTGTAAAAATCACTAATTTATTTTACTCTCAAATAAAACAAATATGATTTCTCTAATTAAATGTAAGACGTATATCTATATTTTCAATTAAACAAAAATATTAAAATAATATCCAAAAAAGAACACAAATTTATATAATTTAGAAAACTTCTATAAAATTTTCTACATATTTTTTTTAAAATATTAATATACATATTTTCATTATTTTTATACTTAAAGACAACTCTTTATGCCTTTTATAAAAAAATTTATTAAGAACCAATACACAGAACAAATACACCATTTATATAATCATTAAACCCATTTAATCCAATTCAATTCCTAATATTTTTAGAAACAAAATGATAAATCAAGTACTACAGTCGTATATTTCATATCACTTTAAAAAAAATAAAAAAATAAAAAAATTACATATTTTAATTTATTTTAAAAATTTTAGTTTATAATTTTTCTATTTTTTTTTTAATTAAACATATTAGTTATGTAATTTTTAATATATAAATTTTATATTATAAAATAAATAATTTTATCATATATTTTAATTATTTATTAATTATATTTATTTTAATTTTTTTTTTATCTAACATTAATCCGGCCTCTAATTATGGAAAATGGAGGCAAGTTAAAGTGCGGCGGAAGAGAGTCGAGTCGACAAACTCAGTCACTCAGATTCAGAGCAATTGCAATTACAGGATTCTTCTTTCTTCTTCTTCTTCTTCTTCTTTGGTGGATGGCCATGGCTCCTCCCAAGAAGCTTCCCAAATTGATGAAGAACAAGGATGCCAAGAAGAACACCAACATCAAGATCAAGATCAAGAAGAAAACCAAGACCGCCATTACCAAGACCACCCTTCCTGTCGATAATACCGCCGTCGATTCCGAATGGTGGGAGATTTTCTGGAACAAAAACTCCCCTAACTTAGGTCTCTCTCTCCTTCCCCCTTTCTTCTAATCGCTCGATTTTGAAATTTTGCTGCTGCAATTTTGATCCATTATGAACAGAACAGAACACCTTCACTCAGATTTACTGATTTCGCGTTTTAGGTTTTCTGCGTTGCTTTTGATTTCTATGGAATTAGGGCTACCATTATTGCGCATTGCTTCGATTGTACTGTTGTAGAAACCTTTCATTCAATTTATTTAATGTTTTGTTGGAGCTGTGTAGATAGATGAATTATGGAAGAGATGAATTCTCCTCACGAAGCGACGAATTACTGATCAAAATTTAGGGTTTTTTGGATCCATTGAATTCTTCAAATTAGGCTTCTTCAATTTGGAACTTGTCGTAGAGTTTATCACTGGAAATTGATATTTTGATCTTTTGATACACAATTGATTTCACTCTTAGGGCATTTGTATTTGTTTCAGCAGTTTTAAAAGCCTCCATTGATGTGCAGGAAGGTTTCAAGAATTTCTGATTTCTTCTTAAATTTGAAATTTGTTGTTTGAGTTTACTCACTGGAAAATTATATTTTGATCTTTTGATCCACAATTGGTTTCTGATTGAAAATTATGGCTTCACTCTTAGGGCATTGTATTTGTTTCAGCTGTTTCTGTGTTGTTCTTCTGCAGTTTCGAAAACCGCCATTGATGAGGAAGAAGGTTTCAAGCATTTCTTCCGGGTTTCGAAGAAAACTTTCGAGTACATTTGCTCACTAGTACGAGAAGATCTCATATCGCGGCCGCCATCAGGGCTGATCAACATCGAGGGACGCCTCCTGAGCGTCGAAAAGCAAGTCGCCATTGCTTTAAGAAGATTAGCTTCCGGCGAATCGCAAGTTTCTGTCGGAGCGTCTTTCGGCGTCGGCCAATCGACCGTTTCGCAGGTGACTTGGAGGTTCATCGAAGCCATGGAAGAACGATCGAGGCACCATCTCAAATGGCCGAGCTCCGATCGACTGCAGCAGATCAAATCCGGGTTCGAAACGCTGTCGGGATTGCCCAATTGCTGTGGCGCGATTGACGCGACCCACATAGTCATGACGCTTCCCGCTGTCCAAACCTCCGACGACTGGTGCGACCAAAAGAACAACTACAGCATGTTCGTGCAGGGCGTCGTCGACTTCGAAACGCGGTTTCTCGACATCGTTACAGGCTGGCCGGGAGGAATGCCAATATCCCGGCTTCTGAAATGTTCGGGATTCTACAAACTCTGCGAAAGTGGCGGACGGCTAAACGGGAACGCAGCGATTTCGAACGACGGCGAGGCGATTAGAGAGTACATTGTGGGCGGGGCGAGCTACCCGCTTCTGCCGTGGCTTATAACTCCGCGGGACGGCGGCGAATCGTCGTCGTCGGTGACGTCCCCTCGGCTGAATGAAATGATCGAAACGGCGAGATCGACGGCGGCGAAGGCGTTTTCGCAGTTGAAGGGGGCGTGGCGGATTCTTAACAAAGTGATGTGGCGACCGGACAAGCGGAAGCTTCCGAGCATCGTTTTAGTATGTTGTCTGCTTCATAACATTGTAATCGACTGTGGCGACTGCCTGCATTCGAGCGTGGCGTTGTCTGGACATCACGACGGCGATTACAAAGCGCACGTTTGTAAGCAAGTCGACCCCGACGGGCGGAATGCCCGCGAGGTTTTGGCGAGGAGTTTGTCTTGAGGATCATCCGTAGGTAAGTTTGATTTGATTAATGTTGATTTGGGTAGACGATTGGTAATTGGAGTTGATCTTCTTCTTCATCATCTTGAATTTGAAGCTATCTTTTGTTCATATTGTCAATTACCTTTGTGATGAATATACATTGGCAAAATTGCTCATAATTTGTCCGTGGTTTCGAAATTTTGGGTAAATTTTTTTATACTTTAAACTCTGCATTATATTTCCTTATCCTTTAAAAAAATATTAGAAGGAAACTTCTTATGCATAAATGTAGAGGGAATTTAAGGTCATGCAGTTTTAAAAATAAAAAGAAGATTTACACTGGGTTTCAAAATTATTTCATCCAGATTAATTATGTCATTTTGTTTGGATTCAAAAATTTATTTAAGAATTTGATAAAAAATAATACTCCTTCCCTCCCATAATAAGTATTTATTTACTTTTGTATGTTGATCATTGGATGTTAATTATATGTCAAAACGTATTACAAATCTAAGGAAAAATTGCAAAAATATTTTTATTAGTGTCTTATAATACTAATATAATGACATTTGTATAAAAAATTATACAAATATTTTTAACATTAAGTACAATGACGCAAAAGGTAAATGGATACTTTGTTATGGTACGGAGGGAATATAATAAATAGAATACTGTAGACACAAGGGTGTAATTAGTAGATAATTAAGAATGTATTAGTGAAAATAATTATCCTATAATATAAATAATTAAAAATTAAGATTAAGATAACTGATTAGTTTAACTAAAATTTTTAAAAAAAATTAAAAAATTTAAAATAAGATTAAAATGGGTAATCATTTTCCAAAAAAAGAAAGTGACATGGAAACGTGGGACGGACAGAAAGAGCTCACTGGCCGACCTTGACCCTTGTTATTTTGAGGTCATATCTAATATTCAACTTGGACATGGTATGTGGGACGAAGAGAATAATAAATTGGTTATTATATTAAAGTAAAAATAATAAAATGTTGTTAAATAAAATTGTTTAAAAAAAAATAAAAATTGGCATAATTAAACGGAGTGTATAAATAGTCTATAGAATAGTTATTATGAGTGATCTCGTTATAAAACGAATATTAACACAATAAAATACAGTCTATTCAAAATATGATTTGATTCATCTCAGCATAAAATATTATTTAAAAAAAAAATTGTTGCTTCTAAGGCCTGGGACAGTCATTACAGACACAAAAAGGGCCAACAAATCCAACATTTTCAATACACTGAACAGTGGTATTTTCCCCAAATTTTAATTTGCAGAAAGCAGAGCAGTCATCAGTACTGCCTCTCACACACAAGATTTCTGGGTGTATTTCATAGCACTCTTGCTGCTGCCCAAACCCCACTGCAACCCCAAAAAAAAAAAAAAAAAAAGAATTTAAAAGGGATGAAAGGAAAAAAAAAAGAAAAAAAAGAGACAAGAATTTCTCAGTTCTTACCAGGTAAAATAGCCAAAACCAGAACTAAATAGAAACCTGCCATTGTTACATAGAGAGAAAAATAGAAATAGATGATGATGGTGAAGAAGATGAAATTTGGGATATTCCCTAATGAGTCTTTTAATTTTATAGGGAAATTTAGGGACAAGTGGCAAACAACAAATAATGGTGGCCAAATCTACTTTTTTTTTTTTTTCTTTTAATCAAAAACCTTATCTCAAAAAATAATAAGTATTAATCAGTTTTCACATCTCATTATTTTATTTTATTTTTTTTGATCAATCAAGAATCTATATGATCCAATACCATACGTACGTTCACATAGACCTTTATTTTATTTTATTTTACTTTATTTAATTGCGTGTCTTGGCACAATTTCTTCTAATTTTTGTGGATTAAATAAATGGGCAATTTGAAGAAATCAATTTATATTCTTCTTATTATTCTGTTTATAGTATGCCCAAAAATTGCCAGATTCTTCTGGATGTGTAATGTCATAACATATTTATTATCCATCAACATGTCTATCACCCCCCCTTTTGACTTTTTATTAAAATTCTGGTCAGCTATACGTCTTCCTAATCCTGGCCTAGTAAGAAACTTACAACAATGCAGGGCCGACATCACACAAATTATCGACAGATAGATTACAGTATAATAATAATAATAATAATCTATATAACACAATCTGTATTACTCCCTCCGTCCACACACAAAGTAAATATTTACTTTTGGTGCGATATTTAAAAAATAATACTATTTTAATTATAGTGGGTTGTTTAAGAAATAATACTATTTTAATTATAGTGGGTAGTTAAAAGTAGTAAAATGACATTTTTGCCTTTATTTTTTTTTTGGTGTAAAAGTAATGATGTAATATAAAGTAAAAATATCTGTGGAAAAAAGCGAGGTATTTAATAAAATGTTTACTTTGTAATTGAACGTCCTAGAATAAAAATATGTATATTTTATAGCTGGACGAAGGGAGTATTTGTTTGGTGTTGCACTGGAGCAACGCCATCTATTTTTTTATTTTTTTATTTTAAATTTTTAAATTTTTTATTTTTAACGTTAAATTTATTTTATATTTTTTTTAATTTTAAAAAAAATTATTTTAAATTATAAAAATAAAAATTTATTTAAAATAATAGAAAAAATTGAATATTTAAAGAATAATAGTGAAAAATAAAGTTATGGTTAAATAAAACTGAATAAATAGAATTGATGGGTTGTGAATTGTCTGTAGCTTAAGTTTTAATGTGATGGGCTAATAGCACTCTTAACTGTTTCCAACTTACAAATATTTTAAAATTCTACACAAATATTCATATTTGTTAATTTCTTACAAATTTTCAAAGTCAATGGTCCAAATTATACTCCTTTACCCAGAACCTGCAAATAAACAATCAAATTTATGGTTTGTATTAGCTGCTTCTTCTTTTTTTTCTTTTTTTAATTTTTTTAAAAAAATATTTAATATAATATACCACGAGATAAAATAATTTATTTCTATTAAAAATTCGTAGCAAAAAAGAGTAATTATTTTTTTTCAATAAATTAGAAGCAAAACAAACATGTAACTCATTGAAAATAAAAATCTAATAAAAAAATTAATATATTATATATCTTCGTTATTTTTAAACCAAACCTAACAAGGGTACTATATACAACCCAGACCCGAAATCCATATCCAAATAATTGAATCTACTCTCGGATCTAGCTGGATCAATTGTCATCCTTAAATCCAGCCCACTTTAAAAGATAATTGGATTGAATAAAATTTTACCAACCCGCCATAATTTACCCGCCAAATCTAACTCCAAATTTTAAAAGCAACGGCTAAATGCATCCCCGCATTAGCATTCATTATTCTTCAAGTTTAGTTTAAACACACAGTACGTACGTAGCAGTAGATCCAGATCTATTCTGAGTCCGGATTTAAGATCATTTCAAATTTACAAGATAAGTACCTTTCATGGAACATAACATAAAAATTGTGCATTTTAACGGCTAAGTAGAAAAAAAAAACATTCTCAGATATCGAAAATAATAAACATCGAATCGAAACCGAACCTTAATCCTCGAAATCTGACAGCTGGACGAGATATCGAAAATAAGAAGCGTCGTATTGAAGCCGAAACTTAATCCTCGACAGTTGACGGCTGAACGCATGCACAAAAACTCGTCTTCTTACGCCTCTGCCCGCCGTTCCTCCCGCCGCCGCCGCCGCCGTACAAATAGTCGCGCAAAAGGATCCGTCGTCTCGCCTCCGCGATTTTGCTTCTCCGCTCCTTATCGTCGCCGTCGAGCTTGAGCAGGACGAATTGCAGCTTCTGCACTTCCAGCTGCAGCCGCCCGATTTTCTCGGACATTCGTCGCGCCTGCTCCTGGACCTTCCTCCTCTTGGCGATTGCGTCGTCTTCGATTTCGAACGACGAGGATTTGGTGTCGGAGAAGGACCTGTCGTCAACGGTTTTCATCAGTCTCGCGTTGAGATCGAACAGCTTAATTATGGCAACGTCGGCTTCTTCGAGCTGTCCTTTGAGCGCCTCGCACTCAATCACAGCTTTCCCTCGCTTGTTCTTCTCGGTGACTTCGAGTTTCTTCTTCAAGTCTTGCACCGTGATTTGGAGATTCGCCAATTTTTGAACGTCGGAGTCGAGCCGTTCGAGGACTTTTCGACGGTTTCCGTCTGGGAGGGGATCGGTGGATCGTTTCGAGATGTTAATCTTGTCCAAGCTCAAGTCCTCGTCGAGCAGCGAATCGGAAGTTGGGATCAGACCTTTCTGTTTCCTCATTGACTTTAAGCGTCGGAAATCGGCGGAGGATGGAGAGGCTGTTTTCTTCGATTTGGTGACAGTCAGGCCGACAGTCCCGTCGGGATCGCCAGTTTCCCATAGTTCGATGATTTGATTGTCTGAATTGACAGGGGCCTTTTTCCTGAATCGATGAGACGAACCGTCGGAGATCTGATCGAGCACAATGTCCTTCGTCAAAAGTGCGTTATCTGCCTCGGTGATTTCGGATGTCGGCCTTGTGTTTCTCCTGTACCGAGCGCTCTCGGATTGCAGCAATTCGAGCTGGCTTGCAGAAGCATCCAGCTTGGCATGAAGATCGATGTTTTCTTGAACCATTCGCTCCTTTATCGCGATTGCTGCCTTCGAAATTGCTTGAAGCCTCGTCCGGGCATCGTGCAATTCGGAAATCATGCTTGGTTTCGATGCTCTCTTGTCTTCGGTTACGATGATCTCATGTGGATCGTTTGTAACTTCATCACCCTAAGAATAAGAACACGGGAAAGAAGTCGAGATCTAGATCATAACAACATTTGCATATAACATTTTCACACAATAGCATACTTTATGACTATTAAGAATAAGCAACCAAACGTAATTTTCGATGATGTGTTAAGCAATACCTGCAATTCCTCATTTTCGGGGCTTTGAAGCTTGATGTTTATATTAGTGTGGCTCTCGAGGGACGATATGCATTCCTTAAGAGCTGCAATCTCGGGACTGTATGCTGCCAATTGAGTTCTGAGATCTTCATTTTGATCCATGTAGCCAAGGCACTCGTCATGGACTTCGTGAAATTTCTGCTCGTAAAGAAGCTGACTAACCATGGAAGATTGTAATTGTCCGAATGCTGAGGCAATCTGAGTCTCCAACTCCTCAATCTCATTCAACTTATTTTCCAGCTCGGTATGCAATTTTTCTTCTTCGATTCTTCTCTTCTCATGCTCGGCTTCCAGTTTGTCGCGTGCGTCATGCAACAAATTACGGTCTCTGCTTAATTGGTCATTATCTGCAGACAGTTTGAGAATATGATTCTTTTGTTCGCCATGAGCTAATTCGACTGTGTGGTACTTCTTCCTCAGATCTTCCAAACTTTCATTGAAGTCTAGTTTCTCTCTTTCGACTAAACTTATCTTCTCTTCTGCGTTCTTAAGTTCCAAAGACATCAAAGCCACCTGTTTCTTTTCATTTTCCAGCTCAGTATGCACTTTTTCTTCTTCGATTCTTCTCTTCTCATGCTCGTCTTGCAAATGATGCAGCTCAACTTCCAGTTTCTGACATGCCTCCCGTAAGAAATTACTGTCCCTACTTAAATGATCATTATCCGCAGACAGTTTGAGGATCCGGTTCTCTTGTTCGTTACGAACCAATGTAACTTCATCGTACTTGTTTGTCAGATCTTCGACTCCTTTATTTAACTCTAGCTTCTCCTTTTCTACCAGATTTATCTTCTCTTCTGCTTTCTGAAGTTCTAGCAACATCTCCGCAACCTGTTTCTTTCCGTTTTCAATCTCTACGCTTAACTGATCTCTCAACTGATCTCTCGCCGTCGCAACCGCCTTTAACTCATCTTCTGTCTTCTGCAGCCTTTCCTTGAGCTGATTATTCTCAGTTTTTGATTCTTCCAAGCTCCCTGTTGTCGAGTTTAACTTCGTCGAAAGAGCCATATTCATTTGATGAAGTTTGGTTCGATCATCCCCAAGTTCTCTAAATGCCATATATTTCTCATCTGCAAAGGTTCTGAATATCAAGGAGAGATTCTCTAGAGCTAAAACCTTATCACATAACCCATAATTTTCCTCTTCAAGGGAAATGTTCTTCTCCTCCAATTGGACGATGTCGTTAGCCAAGGCCTCTTTCTCCTTCGAAATTTCCGATTTCTCTCTTTGCAAGACATGGCAAGTGCCTTGCATATCCAGAAGCTTCCTATTCAATTCCTCGATCTTAGTCTCCAGCACCGCCTTATTGGTATCGCCCTCCCTCAATTTTGATCGAAATTCTTCATTCACCTCATGGAGAGCAAGAGCTTCACTCTGCAACACTAGGATCTGTTCAATCTTGGCCCTCAAATCATTATCGATCGTATTCTTTTCAACCTCGAGATTCTGTGATTCCGATTTAACCTGCCTGAGCCATGCAATAAGAACTGATAATTCAACTGTCAAGCCCAGATTATCTTCCTCGGCTCTGTGGAGGGACATCTCCATATCTTGAAGTCTACTCAGCAGCCGGTCAAAATAACCGTGGTCTCGATCAGCACCATTCTCATGTGCATGATCATCAACAATCTTGAGAACCTTCAATAACTTGTATGTCCCTCCCCTCAGCCATCCAGCTTGCTCAGATAAAGATTTGATCTCAACTTGTTGATCAAAGTTATTTTGTTCCAACTGTGAGATCTTCTTTTCGGACAAAATGGATTGATCCAAAAGTTCCCGATTTTGTAAACTCAACAAGCAATTATTCTCTTTCATCTCTCGAGCAGATATGTGGAACACAAAGATCTCAATTTCCTTAACTATGGCATCATCCAACAACCGGTCAAGTTCTCTCTTTCTGGATTCAGATTCCCCTTTCAGAAGGCTCATCTCCACCTCAATGCCACTGAACTTAGTTTCACTCATCTGAACATACTCGGCATGTTCTTGTTTCTCCACCTCCAAAGAGTTCTGCAACTCCTCAACTCTGCGGAGAGTTGATTCGTTGTCTTTCTCCAGAGTCATGCATCTTCCTTCCAGTTCTCCATAAACTCTGCCGAGTTCTGCAAGTCTGAGATTTTTGTTCTCTAACTGAGCAGTTAAACCATCATTTGTGCTCATCAAATCAGTCTTCTCGTTTACCAGCACCTGGTATGATTCGTCTAACGATTTTGATTTAGCCTGCAATGTCTCAAGTTGATGGTATGCATCAGATATAAAATTTTCCAGAACTCTGTTATTCTCTGAAAGCTTATCCATATTTGTTTTCGTTTCTTGTAATTCGGCTGCAAGGGAAGCTTTCTCCTCACTGAGAGCAGATTTCTCTCCCAAAAGAGATTGGCATGACAGCTCCAATTCCTCTAGCTTCCTTCTAACAGCCTCCATCTCAGCATTCAAATCTGATAGGGAGGTTTCCAAAAGGGAATTTTTCTCAAGAAGCTGCTCCAGTTTCACCAGAAGAGCAACTTTCTCACTACTTTCTCGATGGCATGTTTCTTTCAGACTGGCATTCTCTTCCTGCAATCCCTTCACGGATGATTCTAAGGATTCTGGATTCAAACCTACTGCTTGCACCTGGTTCAATATGGCAGCTTGCTTTGTGTTCAGATCATTAAGCTCTTCTTTGAGACAATATATTTCTTGCTGCAGTGCATTCCTTTCGTCAAGTCGGAGCTCTACCTCCTCCTGAAGTTTTCCTTTCGATACCATTAAACTAGAGATCTCATTTTGCATATCCTTTAATGACAAAGCAGAAGTTGCATTGTACTCATCAAGTTGCTTGTTCTCCTGCTTAACCTTTAAAACTTCATCTTGCAAGCTACTGTTCTCGGTTTCCATGGCCTTCAAAAGTTGGGTCCTATTCTGCAGCTCAGAAGCCACACCCCGCAGCTCTTCCTGTGTTTGGGCATGCAAATGTTGCAAAGTTTGAAAAGCAGTTTCAGCCTCGACAAAGCGCAACCTCTCTTCTTGTATGCAAGCCCAGAGCGTTCCCAGTTCCTTCTGCTTTTCCGTAAGCTCTTGCGTTTGAGTTCCCATCTTGAACATCAATGATTCCAACTCAGAATGAAGAGATTGGTTTGATCTTTCTAACAGGACACATTGTTCTTCAGCAGTTTTTAATTTGGTCACTCCATCATCAACCTCTACATTGAGGCGTTTGGCCTCTTCTTCGGCAGCTTTGAGTTTGCTCTCTAGTGTAGCAATCGTCTCCAAGCATTGCTGGTATTGCAGAGCAGCAGCTTCTTTTTCCTGCCCCAATTTTGAAATGGTTTGTCTAAGAATTTCAACTTCATTTTCTGCATTTTCAGCTCGTTCTTTCAGCCTTTGAGCATCTTCTTCTGTACGCTTTAACTTGTTCTCCTGGTTTGATATGGTCTCCAGTGATTGCATGTACTTATTGAGAGCCTCATCCTTTTCAGCAGATAATTTGTCCAGCTCACCTTTCAAAGATTGCACTTCCATTTCAGCAGTGCTAGCTCGTTCATCAAGTTTTCGAGTATCCTCTTGGGCAGCAGATATTACAGTCTGCAGGTTAGTTATCTTGTCCACACACTGTTGGTACTCTTGAAGCTTAGCCTCCTTCTCTGCTTCAAATTTAGCTATGGCTTCCTTCAGCACAGCAGCTTCATTTTCCGCATTATTTGCTCGATCGCTAAGGATTTTGTAATCCTCATTGACTTTAGAGATTTCATTCTGTAGCTGGGAAAGTTTATCCAAACTCTGCTGGTACTGAGCAAGCCCAGCTTCCTTTTCTGCCTCCAGTTTGGTAATGGCTTCCTTCAACTTCTGAATCTCCTCAGTTTCCTGGTTAGGTTTTGACAAGTTTGGATCCTTGTCATGGTTATTCTGTTCCATCTCCTCCTCTTCGTCAAAAGTAAGCTCCCTTCTTGCATGCCCAAACGGATCCTTGAATGGTTTCACAGCCTTTCGATTGGAGATAGATTCAGATTCATCTATGTATTCTCCCATCTGTTCAACAGCACATCACAAGAGTTAGACAAGAAGGATCTGGCAATGTATCTAAAATTATGATATCAACGCTGTATACTTACTGGGGTCGACATTGTCATCTCAGGAGGTCTCATGTCACCTCCAGAAGCCGAACCACCAGGCGAATCGTCACCAAATACTTGATTTGGAAAAGCTTCTGACATGGTACGATGGGCGTGGCGTATCACACCAGTTGCATGATCATACCTTTCTGCTAATGCACGATATGCTCTATAAAACTCTTCGACCATTTTCATAAGCTCCGGCCGTTTCTTGTAATACATCTCTGCCCTCCTTGCAAAAGAATCTGCATCTTCCTCTATGAGCTTTATCATTGCTTTCACTTTGGCATCCATATCTACAACACAACACAGATCTTCATCAAGATGTTTGCATTGCACAAATCAAAACTACCAGAACAAATTTCATTAGTGTGGAACATTCCTTGTTAAAATTCTTAAGGAGAAATGCACAATTCAGTGTGAAATTATACAAGAAACCTACACAGTGTAGATGAGCAGATAAAATTCTCTGAACCATAAAACATTTTTTACAGTAGTTAGACCAGTTCCTATAAAGTAAATAAACATATGAAGAGCACTCAGATCCGAATTTACAGACCGTCCGACTATAATCACAAGTAAAAGGAAAGTACTCAAATGGTTGAAACAAGACTAAAATTATACTCATGTGAACACATTATTCTACTCAACAATAAATGTGTACATACCTGTGAGATTTTCCTGGAGCCATTTCGAGTTTTTGGGGCTAATGTGGCTATCCCACCACCAGGAGTACATTCTTCTAGAATCCGTGTGCCCTAACTTCGCCATCTTCGTTTAGACAGAGGACAGAAGGCTTTCAATGACGGTAGAAAAATGAAAACTAACACTCCGGCAGAGGTAACAGAGATCCAACCACAAAAGCTTCCACGAACTCAATTCAGTAATAATAGTTAGAGTTGAGCTCAGGATCTTCCTGTTTCTGCAGAATTTCGAGAAATCACTCTCATAATTTACAACTAAAAATAGGTTTAGAGATCACATCCAGGCATTTGGATACACACATCATACCTTCACAAAATTCGAGTCTATCTCAACAACGAACAGCGACAACCGCCTCACAGAATAGCTACCTGATCAGAATTCTATCGCGAATCAGACACCATGGAATAAGGAAAAAAATTATTACGAAGAAAGCTAAAACAGGTAAAAATAATCTCAAAACTTCTGCGTGATTTCAATAAACAGCAACGTATAATTTGCAACTCCTCAAACTCGAGATCTGATTTTACCATCGACAAGAAAAAAAAATCGGAAGATCGAATCATCAAATACAAAGCAACGAGCACAACAAACAGTCAAACAACCAGTGATTCTGCGCGTTTATGCAGCAAAACACATCCGAAACTAAAAACTTGCGACAAAATTACTGCAATCAAAATTAAAAACTCACAAATCAACCGGAGCGTTAGAACTGGATGCAAAACATGTTAACTCGATCGCATATTAAAAAAAGGACAAAATTAATGCTGCTTTTTCCGTTTTTGGCCTCTCTCTTCTCTCTCTAACCCATATCTTTACCAGATCCTCTATTCCTCTCTCTCTCTACGAAATTCTCTCGAGTGGAGCTATTTGTGCGCGTGTATATTCTTTGTGCATGTGCTGTCGTGCTGTAATTCGGCCATTGGCGATCTGGCAGAGCCTCTTCGGAATTGCGATTGTATACAAAAACGAGAAAAAATGACAAAATTGGGAGGGGAGACTTGAGCTCGACTTTGTCGACTGATTCGTCGTCGCACGCTTCTGCTTTCCTGTTATTAATCATTTTATTTTTTAAATTATTATTGGATAATATTTTAACTGCGGCATGGGATGGGTTGGAATTTTACTTGTTCGACAATTACGGTGTCGGATTTTCCGATGTTGTCCTCGGGCTGGTCTGGGTTGTTGTCGTTTCTTAAATTGCGTTGCTCTCCTCGGGTCTTGCGAGGCTGTAATTCTGAAATTTTGTTGGTTGTTTCTAGAAGATGACAGCACACCATTTCTTACTAGGATTTTAATTGTTTAATTAGGATTTGCATTTTATTTTTATTTAAATAATATTTTTATATACTATTTTTTAAAAGAATAATAAATTAATTTATTTCTTATTTTTAGATGAAACGATTTTATAAATATTATTAAAAACTTATAATATATACTTATTAACATAATATATATTTTATCACTTATAAAAAAATTAATAATTTTATAAAATTACTTTTTTAGTTTCACGTAAAATATTTTTTATTTTTGTTTATCTTGCATAATTTGTTTTTTTAAATATATTATATATTTTAATCATGTTAAAAAAATTATAATTTATAATTTAATTAAATTATTTAATTATTTTAATTTATAATTATTTTTATTGATATATTTTTTAATTATTTATTAATTATATTTTATTTACATTCTCGTAATGGTAAAGTGGACAACAATATATGGGACTGAGCGAGCATTAATTTTTATATTATCAATATAATTTTTTATATTTAACATAAAATATATATATATATATAAAAAAAACACAAAATGAATAAACCCGATACATTTAGGGTGTGTTTGTTTGGGGGTTTGGATTTTGGATTGGGATTTGAATAGTAAAAATTTTGAATTTGAATAGTTGTATGATGTGATATAAATAGGGTTTGATGTGATGTTTTGAATGTAAAATTGATTTTTAGTATAATATAAAAAATGAAAAATAGGTGTTTGATTTGATGTTTTTGGGGGGAAAAAATTGGATGAATAGTGAAAATCCTCCAAAATCCTTCAAACAAACACACCCTTGTTGGAAATAGTGAGAATAAATGATTTTCTTTTAAAATCATAACCAACTAAACAAGTTTGTTTTCGGTCAAATAAAATTTGAATATTTAAAATTTAATACTCCATAAATATAGTCTTTATTGGGTTTGGCACGAGATTTAAGGAATATTGATTTTATATTGGTAGTTGGTAAAAAGTATGAATAAAATACTGTTTTGCCCTTGTGAGTGTATTAGTGTAGAAAGTAGTAGCAATTGTGTAATAAAAATAAAAAAGTATGGGTAATTTTATAGTTTTATGGTAATATGATTATTTATGAAAATAATACTATTGTTTTGGAACGGACAAAAATAGTAAACACAACTATTGTATTGAGACGGAGGGAGTAATTGATATGATATTTTATTAAAATTATATATTTTTTCAGGAAAATTTTAAAAATTAAAAATATAAACAACATACTCTAATTTTATTTATTACTCTCTTCTTACGTTAAAAAATTAGAAGTTTTTCACAAATATAGAGATAAATAAATAATAATAATATGTTATTGTAAAAATCTATGAACAAAAAAGTAAGCTAAAATAAGTTGAGAGATAACTAGTGTAAATTTGGTTTAATTACAATGATAACATAATTATTACACTTTAAAGCAAAAAATAATTAAATTATAGAGAGAGATATATATCTTTTTATTATAAATAAACTACATATATAAAGTTATCCTTTAACTAAAACAAAAGGTTAAAAATATATATATATATATATATATATTTCTTCCTCTATTCCTTGATAATTTATCTATTTTTTTATTTTGCTCTGTCACATAATAAAATATTTATTTATTTTTTAAATAATTGTACTATTTACATAATATTACAAATATTTTTTTAATTTACAATATATTACACAAATGTCATTATCTTTATATCATACAATATTAATATGGTTAATTTAGTTTTTATACTTTTATTTCTACTTTATCACGGATGGAGTATTTAGTTTATACTCTATCCGTTCACACACAAAGAAACATTTACTTTTGGCGTGGTGTTTAAGAAATAATAGTATTTTAATTACAGTGGGTAGTTAAAAGTAGTAAAATGACATTTTTGTCTTTATTTTTTGATGTAAAAGTAATGATGTGATGTAAAATAAATGTATTTGTGAAAAAAAAAAAAAACTTATTTAATAAAATATTTACTTTATAATTGAATATTCTAAAATAAAAATATGTATCCTTCGTAATATTTACGGCCATTATTTGGTAGGTTTGAAGGAAAAAGAAATTTGTTACTGTCTCATAAATGAGTCGATTGGTCAAATATGACTCAGCAGGTTGATACGATTCCAGAACCATTAGTCACACAACGTGTGTGCTGACCAGAAAACATTAATTAAGTATTTAATTAATATAGGTGTGGAATAAATTTTGTTTGATTGTACATTTAAGAAGTGAATTTGAGGCTTCTAAAAACAAAAATTAAAATTAAAATAATTATTTATGTAATATAAAATATAGTTATTATAGTTGAGTTTAAATTTATTTACTAAAGTAATAAAAAAATTGTATTTAATTAAATAATTGTTTTAATAAAAAATATTGATAGGGTGTGTTTGTGGGTTTTTTAGTTTTTGGGTTTGAATTTTTGAATTGTAAAAAATTAAATTTGAATAGTTGTTTGATGGTGATATAAATAGAAATTGATACGATGTTTTGAATATAAAATAAAATTGTGATATAATATAAAAAAATAATTATTATTATTTGATGTGATATTTTTTAAAAGAACGAGGAATTTGAATAGTAAAAATATATAGTTAAATCATAAAAGAACACAACCATAATATTTTCAATTTCTTTTTTTTTTTCATTTTTCCCAAATTTTACTTAAACTATGCGTTTTTTTTTTAAAAAAAGTGAAATATTCTATCAAAAATACCTCATTCGTCTGTAAATTTTGTCAATTTTACCGTAAATAAATTTAGAAAACAATATAATTAATAAATAATTAAAATAATGTATTAGTAAAAATCATTATAAATTAAGATTAAAAGAATAAATAAATTAATTAAAATTTAAAAAATTATAAATTATGAAATTTAAAATGTGACTACAATGTATAATTATTTTTAAAAAATGACAAATTATATGAAAACAGACTTAAACGAAAAAAATGAATATTTTATGTGGAACGAAGTTCCCTCCATCCTATAAAATATGTCTACATTACTGTAGACACGATAATTTTACAAAATATATATAATTAGTAAATAAATATATTATTAAAAATAATTATTATATAATAAAATTAATTATAATTATAATTAAAATTAAAATTTATAATGTATATAAAATTATATATTTATTTAAAAAAATAAAATAAATTATGTTAAAGAAATGAAAATAAAAAAGTAAATGTGGTATTTCATGTGAAACTGAGAGAAAGCATATTTAAATTAAATTTGTGCAAAAATAGTAAAAATAAAATAAAATTAATTACTGGAGAAAGAAAAGAAAAGATTCCTGACCGTCTCCAGCTTTCGGAAAAAGCTCATGGAGGGCATATTGGTAAATTCCCAATCGATACTTTAGTCTTCACTCTTACGGTGCCAGCGTGGCATAGTGTCTTTACATATGTCTGTGGGGCCCAGTCGGCGCCACCATCGGCCGTCCAAACGTCATGTACCAACCAACGGCCAAAATTTTACGGGTCCACATGAATCATGATACACAGGAATTTTACCATATTCTTTTTTGGCTTATAACTTTGTCACAAAATATTTCCACCTAATTATTGGACAAATAAATCATTTAACGTAATTAAAAAAAAAAAAACATTTTTTATTTAAAAATTAATTTCCATTTATTTAATAAACTTTAAAGGCATTGAAGATAGCTGAACTGAGTGATTAGGTGGCAGATCGTACCATGGTCCACTGCACTTATTCCACAGTATCATTTCCCTCACATGTCCTCAATTATTTTTATTTTTATTTTTTGTACTATTAATTATTTTTATTGAAATTAAATTATTTTATATTTCAATATTCTAGCTCGTGCATAGCAGCAAGTCAGCAACCGTTGGAATTTAATATTTTTGCTTTTATCAAATTGAATTTTATAATATATAATAATTGAACTTATTTTATTAAGTGTATATAAATATGTGATCAAGTATACTTTTTTGTTTTAATATACCATACGACTGAATAAACAAAGGGTGTGTTTGTTTGGGGGTTTGGATTTTGAGTTGGGATTTGAATAGTAAAAATTTTGAATTTGAATAGTTGTATGATGTGATATAAATAGGGTTTGATGTGATGTTTTGAATGTAAAATTGATTTTTAGTATAATATAAAAAATGAAAAATAAGTGTTTAATTTGATATTTTTAGGGGGAAAAATTGGATGAATAGTGGAAATCCACCAAAATCCTTCAAACAAATACACCCAAATTGTATTGTCAAAGGTGTTTTATATTATCATTTATCTAAGTTATTATTTTTTAAATATATTTTGGATTTCGAACTTTTTGAAGTGAAATAAGATAAATGAAAATATTAAAAAATGTATAATTTAAATAAAATTAATAGGAATAAATTTAAAATATGAAAATGATTATACTGAAATATATTTTTTCATACGTTAATATTATATATATATATATATATATTATAATGTTTGCCAAATTTATGCTGATATTTATTTATAGTAAAACACTTTGGGCATATTTTTTTTTTGTTAATTTTTTTATTTATGAATAATTGTGTAAATAATACTTATTTAATAATAATTTTATTCATTTATAAATTTTATTATTATAATTTTAATAAATAATAATTAATTTGTTACCATTTTTTTTACTTATCTCACTATTTTATTATTAACTTGTAATTACGGATCGGCCTAGCAAAGATCTTGCCACCAAAGACATTAAATGAGCAATTATTTTCACCTTCTCGGGCCGACCCAATCTTATA